CTGGGGTGGGGCTGGTCCAGCCTGCTGGACCCTAGTGGAGGTCTGGGCAGCTGGGAGGGGAGAGACCTGTGAGCCTGTGGCTGCCGTGACCCTCCCGTGCTCTGTGCCCCGCCCCCAGCATGCTGTGGCCTGCCCCTCTCCCTGTGCTAACTCCAGGTGCACACAGCCTGCAGGCTCCTTCAGGAAGGGGATGCAGCCTTGGCACAGGGCACAGACCCATGGCGTGGCATATACGGCCTGTGACACACAGTACATGTTGGCCATGGGAAGGCTAGAGCTGGGCGTGGCTGGAGCTGCCGAGGTGCCAGGGGATGCTTGCCATACCCTGCCCTGGGTGCACTCAGCAGTCCCTGTGTGGACGTTGTGTCGTTACAGCCTCCTGTTGTTTGTGGACGAGGCCGATGCCTTCCTCAGGAAGCGTGCAACTGTGAGTGCTTTGGGGGGCTCGGGCGGCGGGCCACGGGCTCTGGGTCCGGCTAGTCTCAGGCGGGTTCCATGCTTCAGCTCAGGGCTGTGCGCTCGGCACGCCTGCCCCTGCCTGTGGCCCTTGGTCAGCTTGGCCTGCTGCTGATGGTCCTGCAACCACCTGTGGCAGAGCCTTCTAAACCTTTTCTCCGCAGGAGAAGATCAGTGAGGACCTCAGGGCCACGCTGAATGCCTTCCTGCACAGGACGGGACAACACAGCAGCAAGTAAGCGGCCACAGGTGGGCTTGGGCCATAAAGGCTGTGGGCTCTGTGAGCAACCTGGCAGGCGGTTGAGCGGAGCCGGAGGCCAGTCCTTGCTCAGAGCTTGTGTGCAAGAAAGCCGAGAACAGCTCTCCTGGGCGCGGCCAGGCCTGCCCGACCCCATACCCAGGTCTGCGGTTCTGCCTTGGCAGGGCCCTTCCAGGCCCAGTGGGCTGTGAGCTCCCCACTGTCCCTTGTCCCTGTGAGCCAGTTGGGGTGAAAGCCAGGTAGAGCAGAATCAACAACAGACACCTCGGCCGCTGCAGGTTCATGCTGGTCCTGGCCAGCAACCAGCCCGAGCAGTTCGACTGGGCTGTCAATGACCGCATCGACGAGCTGGTCAACTTCGAGCTGCCAGGGCTCGAGGAGCGGGAGCGCCTGGTGAGGCTGTACTTCGACAAGCACGTGCTGCGGCCGGCCACCGAGGGCAAGCAGTGAGTGCCCGTCCCCCGCCACCCGTGCATCCCTTCCCGAGAATGGCTCTGGCTAGGGTGGCGAGCCACAGCCCCTCTGTCCGGGACCCTTGCCATCCCCCAGGAGCCAGCAGTTCCCTGTGAGCAGTGGGTCCTCGGTGGGCTGCCCCCGGGGATCCGCTTCCCAGCCCAGCCTGGAGCCCTCCTGGCTCTGAGCTCTCCTGGAGGAACGTGGCTGCCCTCCCCGCCCAATGCTGCCTGTCTGGGTCCTAACCCCTGGCCCCGTCACTGGGCCTTGGGCTCCTTTGTCCTGACCTGATTTTTGTGGCCTCTTTCCACGTGGCTCCCTGCCTCAGATGGGTGCCATGGCATTTGTACCATGGGCTGGACGTTGGGGGAGGTCCCACTGCCCAGGCACTGCCGCAGAGCTGGTCTCTGGCCATGAGGAGACACTGGGAGGATGGGGTGGGGGGCTGGGGCATCGGGGGGTCTCTACACAGACTTTGGGAACTCCCCTGCAGGCGCCTGAAGCTGGCCCAGTTTGACTATGGACAGAAGTGCTCAGAGGTGGCCAGGCTGACCGAGGGCATGTCGGGCCGCGAGATTTCCCAGCTGGCTGTGGCTTGGCAGGTGAGTCAGGCACATGGGCATGAGGCCCTCAGCTACTCCAGTCTTGTTCCAAAGGCTGCATCCTGAGGGGGTGAGATGAGGTGAGGTGAAGTAGGGTGGGGTTGGGTGAGTTGAGGGAGGTGAGGATGAGGTGTGGTGGGGTGGGGTGGAGGTGAAGTAGGGTGAGTTGAGGTGAGGCGAGGGTGAGCATGTAAGGATGCAGTGGACACAGTCCACCGCAGTGAGGCTGGACAGCTCGGCTTGCGTCTGTCAGGGGCTTGCCGTGTGGGCGTGTGGTACCTTGTCCCGTCTGCAGGGCCCTGCCTGCCTTTGGGCCCTGGGAGCTGCTTCCTGATCCCTCCGTGGGCAGCAAGGGGTGCTGTGTGCCTGGTCCAAGTGGGAGCAGGTGTCAGGCGCCTTGTCCTCAAGGCTGGCTAGTGCCCTACTGTGGGCCCGGGTGCTTGGGTTGCTGCGGGTGTTGCTGTGTTTGTGTGTATACGCATGGCTGTTCCTGTGTTGTAATGTGTCCACGTGCAGTGTGTGTACCCACATGTACTGTGTGTGTGCATGCAGTGTGCATGAATAGTGTGTGTGTGTGTGTTCTCAGTGAGCAGTGTCTGGCTTGAGGCCCTGCTGGATCCCGCGGTCACTATGTTGGGCTCTGAGGCTCCCGCTGCCCCACCCACCCACGCCTCCTCCGTGCCCACCTCCTGGGGGTGGGGCTCTGGTGGGCATTGGTGCCTCATGTCTTGGTTGTTTTGATGTCATTTGGTTAGAGAGGGGCAGCGGAGGCTGGGCCTGGGCCAGGTTCCCACAGGGGCCTGAGCGTTTGAACCCATGCCGCTGCTTCCCAGGGTGCAGGGATGGAAAAGTGGGCCAGAGCAGGAGCAGCGGTTCGGCCTCAGCGCCTGCGCTGTTGCAGCCCTGCTCCAGTTGTGTGTGGCATTCTGGCAGGAGAGTCTTTGTTTAGTGAGCTTCATTTGCTGCTTTGTTCCCCAAATGGTTGAACGGCTAGGGCTGGACCAGGCCGAGGCCAGCAGCCTGGGACTGCCCTGCGTCCACTCCCGGGTGCAGGGCCTCCGCACTGGGGCCATCTTCGGCTGCTTCCCAGGCGTGTCAGCAGGGAGCTGGCAGGAAGCTGGACTGGGAGGGGCGGCTAGGACCCGAGCTGAGCCCGTGTGTGGCTTTTCAGTGGGACTTCCAAGTTTGGCCAGCTCTGGGGGACGGCATTCTGAGGCTGTCTGCAGATCCGTGTACCTTGGTCCTTCGGCGTCCCTGGCTCTCCGCGTAGCCAGGCCCTCGCACGGTGCTCACATGGCCGCTGCTCAGAAATTGCCACAGGTCCAGTTCTTTCCTTGCCTGTGGGGACACCGGCTGAACTGACGGGGGAGTCACACCGCAGCAGGTGCCGAGCAGGCTGCACTGCCTCTGTCGTGCCTGATGGCCCCAGCCACTCCAGGCCGGCGACAGGCTGCACATGGCGTGCGTGGCGTTTTACTCGGCTGGTCATCTGAGTGTGCAGGTGCCACATGCCCCACTCTGCCTCCCAGGCCACCTCCTGCTGTGATGACTCGTAGGGTCCTAGTGTCCATCGGCTGTGCAGACCAGGGGGAGCATGGGGAAAGAGGGTGGAGGTCTCCCATCCGTACATCCTCAGAATCTGGAAGGGCCAGGGGCCCAGAAGGCCTTGGGGCACTGTGATGCCAGCGGTCCCCTCGGTGATCGGGGCAGAGGCTGGCGCAAGTGTTGGGGCGCCAGGCCAGGTTGACCACATGGCTGCTGAACCCTGCTGGCAGCCAGCGCTGGGCTGCCCCCGCCCTGTCGTGTGTCACTATGTGGTCTCATCCCTCGTGCCACTGTTAATCCCGTGTCGTGGCTGCAGCCCACCTTCAGGCCCCATGGGTGGTAGTAGCCCTGACCCCTTGGGCAGAGCTGCCAGGGTGAGGGACCTGCAGGAAGGCCTCTGTGACACTGTACCCCCACCCTCAGCCACAAGAATGTCCCAGGACATGGCATGCCGATCCATGCTCAGCTGTCCCCCATCTCCCAGCAGTGTCCCAAAGGCAGGCTGCCCTAGGGACACACACACACTGTGGGGCCTGCTCAGGCCTGTGGTCTGTGTGTGATGGATGTTTTGTGTGTACTGTGTTGTGTGTGTAGTGTGTATGCTATGGATATGTGTGCACAGCTTGGGCCTGGCCAGGCGCCCTGTAGGCAGCCTCTCTCCCAACCCCACAAGGCTAATGCCTTGGCTGGAGCCAGGGGTGGGGTGGGGTGGGCCGCACAAGGCCCCATCACTGGGTTCTGTAGCCCATGGGTGGGGCTCGAGGGCCCTGACTGCCCCAGTGGCTCCGATAGGGCCGGGCTGTAGAGCTCCCCGCCCACCACGGGCCTCAGTCCCCGTCTCCTGCCAGGCCATGGCGTACGCCTCCGAGGACGGGGTCCTCACCGAAGCCATGATGGATGCCCGCGTGCAGGATGCCATCCGGCAGCACCAGCAGAAGACACAGTGGCTGAAGGCCGAGGGACCACAACCGGAAAGCAGTCCCGTACCCTGAGCCTGTGGGAGGCCGCACTGGCCTGAAGCCCCAGCTGGCAGCCGATGCACCAGGGTTGCCCAGCTCTGGACATCAGCTCCCTCATGGGAGGCATTGGCTGCACCCCCAGGACCACCCTGGGCGGCTCCGAGCCACCAAACGGGTCTGGTCCCAAAGGAGGGCCTGGCCGGGCAGGACGTGCGGCAGCCCAGGCGCTTCCTGCCACACTGCGTTACTGTGAGGTACCTCTGGCCTCCAGGGCCCCGCTCTCCGGCATGTGCGCCTGGGGCCTTTGAGCTGGAATAAAATGTCTGACACTTGAAGCTGTTGTGTGTGTTTTGGGGTCAGAAGCAAAGCAAGAGTCGGACCCCGGAGCTTTCTGGAGAATTTACTGACCAGGCGGGGCTGGGCATCACCGTGGGGTCCTGCGGCCCAGGGCCCCGTCCTCCGCCCCACCTCGCAGTCACGCACACGCGCCATGCACGTGCTCCCGTGTGCAGTTGGGCGCTCCAGACGCACATGGACGGACAGACGGACACGGCGGCTGTCAGACGGACACGCCCCTGCTCGGGCAGGCCTGCCCCCGGCCCTGCCCCCCCACCCCGTCCCCACCCTTACCCCTTTATAAAAAGAAGAGACAGCACCTTCCACTGGAGCTGCCTGGTGGCCCGGCTCCGCAGGCCCCTGGCCCGGAGCTGCCATCCAGTCCTGCCGACCTGGGCAGCCGCAAGGTCCCTGTGATGCCTCCGTTGGCCGGCGGCCCCGTGGCCCCGAGAGTCCTGGGTGCAGCTCACAGGTGCCGCGGGCTGGGGTGGCCGTTGTGGTACAGCTTCTGCTTCACGTGCACCATGTTCCCGGCCGCCTCCTCGAAGGGTCGGTGCGGCCGCCGGCCCAGCTCCCTCAGGCTGCACAGCTTGGGCAGCCAGGTCCAGGAGCCATCTGTGGGGGACAGGGCGCTTCAGCCGGGGGCCGTGGCGGCCGGGGGCCGGCGGCTGTGGCGGTGGGCACTCACCGTAGCGCCGGCCGGCCCTCCAGGTGCGCACGGCGCAGTGCAGCACGCTGTCCAGCCACACCAGGAACCAGCTGACGCAGAAGCCCAGCAGCAGCCCCAACATGAGGTCGATCTCCTGCTTGGTCACGTTGTCTGTCACGAAGTAGTTCTCGGACGCGTCCACCACCGACTGGTCGCCGTCGTAGGGTATCACGTAGTGCACGTGGTGCCTGGGGGCGGCAGGGCGGGCTGGCACCTCTCCCGCCGGCCCCAGGCCCCTGCTGGGATCTGACGCTGCCGTAGGCTGGGCAAGCAGGGGCTCGGGCGCAGACCTGGCCTCAGGTAGGAGGGCTGAGGTCCGGAAGGCAGCGCACGAGGCCCTCCAACTGACCTGGGCTGAGGTGGGGGGATCAGAGTGCCCACTGCTGCCCAGCACATCCGGCTCCTTGCCTCCTGTCCCCTACCTTGGGGGCTGTCCTCACTGGCCATGCCCTCTCCTTCGTGGTCAGCCCTGCTCTGGGCTTCTGACGCTGGCTTTCCTCCACTCCTGGCTTCGGGTCTGCTGGCTCCCTAGCCTGGTCCTGGCTAAGGCTCAGACCTCAGTGCCTCCCTTGGACCACAGCCAGAACCCTCCTGGGCCCCCATGACTGGCAAGGCACATCCCCCCAGCCTGGATGCCCAGGGCACAGGTTGCACGGTCCTGCTGGGCAGCTCTTCAGGCTGGGTTGCCATCCTGGCTGCCACAGCTGCTTCCAGCCCAGCTGCGGTTACAGCTCCACCTGGGCCCACAGCCTTCGTGCACCACACCTCATCACCAGGGACCCCCTTTTGCCTGCCCCTGTCGGGGTGGGTCCCAGCCATCCATCTCAGGCCCAGCCAGGTCCCCTCTTGGGGAATCCTGTGGAGATCAGCGGGAGACAACACCACTGGCTACAGCTCACCAACCCCGTGTGGTTCCCTCAGAACCCGCAAGGGCCAAGGTCAGAGGTCATGACCTGTGCCCTGCTGAGCCCCGCCCCCGCCCCATCCCCTCAGGGCCCGAGGCCACGTCCCCCAGATCAGCAGACGTGTAGACTGCACACGTATGTGATGTGTACACACATGGGTCCTGCCTGTGACACACATGCTCCTTGTACACAGCACGTCACATATACACGCCAGCCACATGCACAGGCCACGGCGTGTATACGGCGGCCACGCCCATGCACTGTGCTCCTCCCCAGCAGGGGCACGGGCTTGGCTCACGGCAACGGGACACGTGTGCATGGATCTGTGCCCGGGGATGCTGCCGGCTGCCATGCGTGCTGTCGGAGCGACCGCCTGCATACATGGACCCCACGTACCGTCTACACAGGCACAGACAAGGCACGCACATGTATGCACAGATTCTGCACACGGTCTGCCCACATGATCCAGCCAGTGTGCCCGGTGACAGCAGAGGCACTCGTGCCAGTCTGCAGTGTGCCCACACGGAGACAGGTGTACGCTACTGCACATACATGTCAGCAACACTGGATCTTGTATGTGGAGATGTGCACACAGCGTGTCGCTGTGTACACATGCAGACGGCAACACGCTGTGCTCACCGCGGCCCCAAGCCTGCACGCAGGTCACGTGTGTGCTGCCTGGGCCCTGGGTCTGCTGGCTGCCGCCTGGCCCCACACCAGGGGCACTGGGGGCGGAGCTGTGGGGACACATGGCTGCCAGCAGACCGCCCCGCACGCTCGGCACACCTGTCAACCCACAGCCGTGTGGCATGCCCTCGCTCCGGCCCGGACACCCCCGTGTGCAAGTCGTGGGGCTGGGGGAGCTGGCAAGGTGAGGGAGCTGGCTGCTGTGGCTTGAGCCCGCCTGTCCTGCCTGTGTCAAGGGCAACCTTGTGGGAGCACAGTCAGCAGCTGTTGGCAGGACACCAGGGGCCACACGGGGGAGCAGCATGCGTGCGTGTGCACACACGTGTATTTGCACAGACGTACACACGTGCGCATCTCATGAGAAGATGTTTATTTCGTACACCGACTACAGACATGCATGGCCAGCATGACCCCACCACCCACGTGCAGGGCGCCCACACCCACAGGTGTGCCCCCTTCCTGTGACCTTGAGCCAGCCCGGCCCACCCCTGCCTCACATCCCACCTCCACAGCCAGAGCCGGCCCTGACCTTGTGCACCTGTCCGCCAAGGCCTGACCCCAGCAACAGGGGACACCCTTAGCTGGGCAGCTGCTCACCCTGACCGCCCCCCCAGTCCCCCGCATGGGCGGCTCCCCGCCTAATGTCACAGCCCCTCCCCCCAGCAGGCGGGGTGGGCTCTTGCCCCCTGGGGTCCTAGGCGTCTCCGTGCTGGCCTGCGTGGGAGTCCTGCTCCGAGTGGGCCCCGCCGCACGTGTGATCACGCGTGTCTGCCCGGCCCCGCGGACTCACCGGCCACAGTTGCAGTGGCAGACGCGGTCCTCGCCCCGCAGGTGCGGGAGAATGTAGTTGTGGAACCGGTCCAGCAGCGCGTTCATGTCCATCAAGCAAGCGATGGCCTGGAAGAGCCCATGGCCGATCAGCGGGCACCACGGGCGCCGCGGTGGGGGGTGCGGGGCGGTACGGGGGAGGGGCGGGCAGGGAACTCGGGGCGCCTGGCGGGCGGGGAGAGGGGCGCGCGACAGGCTGGGGGAGGCGCAGGGCAGGCGGGCGGGCAGCGAGGGGGAGGGGGCCGCGAGACGGCCGGGGACTGGGGGCGCCGGCGAGCGCGGGGGTGAACTAGGGGCGCCAGCAGGCGCAGGGGGAGTGCAGGCCGCGCGCCGGTAAACAAGGCGCGGGGGTGGGGGGGCGGCGCGCTCGCGCGGCGCGCGCAGGGGGCGTGCGGGAAGCCCCTCCGCTCACCATCACGACCGACGCCCCCAGAATCATGAAGATCATGGTGTTCGCGCTCACGGACATCGGGCGGGGCCGGGCCGGGCCGGAGCGCCGCCCCCCGGCCCCGGCGCCCCCCCGGCCCCGGCCCGATGCTGAGCCCCGGCCGCCTGTGCGGAGGTCAGCGCCTCCCTGGACGCGGCGCCCGAGCCGCGGCAACGCCGCCGGCCGCGGAAGGGACGCGGGCGGGGGAGCCCGGAGGAGCAGGGGACCGCTGCGGGGTCGCTGGGCCCGGGCCGGCCCGCGCGCGGCGCTCCGCCCTCCGGCCCTCCCTGCGCGCGGCGCGGTGCGGCGCTCTCCTCCCGCCTCCGCCGCGCGTGCCTCCGCCCACCGCGCCGCTGCCTCCGCCTCCCGGGAGGGACCGGGCGCCCGCGCCGGCCCAGCACTCCCGCGGCCCCGAGGGCCACGGCCCGCTTCGCCTGCCTCCATCCGCACTAGTGCTCGGCGGTCCCCGTGTCTGCCCAGATCCCAGGTGAGGGCGAGGGCCGCAGGGGGCAGCCACGTCCCAGGGAGGTCAGGGGGAGCCCGCTGGGGCCCAGGGGAGCGCGGGAGGCGGTGTGCGCGCGCGTGCAGGTGCGGGGGAGGCATGCCGGCCTGGCCTCGGGGGCGTCACAGGGGGGCCTGCGGCTTGTGGTCTGGAGGCTGCCCAGGCCACAGATGCCAGCCGCACAGGCAGGGCCAGGCTGGTGCCCAGCAGGACATCCCACAGCTCCTGGTGTGTGTGTGGGGGGGCAGCACGTGGGTACAGCCCCACCGTGCTGGCCGGAAATACATTCACAGATGCAGCTCGGTGCCCAGGCAGAGTTTATTGGTGCGGGGCGGGCAGGGGAGACGAGCAGGAAGCTCAGTAGAAACACACGGTGTGCAGGAAGGCGCGGCCGCTCTTCTCCTCAAACTCCTGCAGCAGCTCCTCGAGCTCGTTCTCCATGTCCTCCGTGTGCTGGATCTGCAGGGACGCGGGACTGAGCGGGGGCCCGGCACCCATGCTGGACAGACGCGACAGGGCCACCCACCCGCACGGGGCCCCCGCACCCACCCACACAGGGCAGCACCCACCCGCACGGAGCCCCGCACCCACCCGCATGGGGCAGCACCCACCCGCACGGGGGTGGCACCCACCCACACGGGGCCCGGCACCCACACACTGGCAGAGCTCGCAGAGGAGGAAGGCCCCCAGGGTGGCCTCCTCATGGTTGTCCTGAATGTCCACGTTGACCACGTGCACTGGCTGGCAGGTCTCCTGTTCCCTTGAATTCAGGTCTGGTAGCATAGGGTGAGACTGAGACTTGGGAGCCCAGCGAAGAGGGTGCCCACCCCGCCCCGTGCTGGCACAGCACCTACCCTCCACCACCTGGTCGTAGACCCGCTCCTCACAGGTGAGGATGAGGTCAAACGGGTCCTTGCAGCTCTGGAAGCGCTCCGGCCGCGGCTTGACGCGTTTGTTCCTGTCCAGCATGTGCAGGATCCCGTTCTGCGTGTAGCTGGCGACCGGGTTAAGGAATCACAAAGTGGAGTGGATGCCACCACCCAGGGGCCACCCTGGTCCCCGGAAGCCTGTAAGATGTGCCACGGCTCGGGTCAGGTCGCTGCCCAGCCAGCAGTGAGGCACCGGTCAGAGCTCCAGGCTAACTCCATAGTGGCTGTGAAAGGCTGCCCAGAGACTGCCAGGACGAGGCCTGCGGTGGGCACAGCACAGGAGTTTGGGGACATGCATGTTGTCCCCAGACAGACAGGAATCCCGAGTGATGCTTCCTGGCCCAGTTCAGTCACCCAACTCCAGCCAGAACAAGCCTGAGTGGTTGGCCAAGGCTCTGAGGACCCAGCCAGGGAGCCACCGGCCAAGATGAATGAAGGTGGGGGTGCAGGCTCCCGTCCTCCGCCAGGCCTCAGCATGCTGGCACAGCCTGCCACGCCGCGGCCTGCACCGCAGGCTGAGTCCCGGCTGCTCCATGGCTGACCAGCTTCCTGCTGCATAGCCATGGTGCTTCAGTTCATCACCGTGACTGACCAGGAGGAGCGCCTAGCTCAGCTCCACAGGTGCACCCATTTGCACGGTGAGCAGCAGGTGGAAGGTCCGGGCACTCGGGGGCAGTGCCTGGCCTGAGGCATGGAACTTGCTGGTCTGGAGAGCAACCAGAAGATGGCAGCCCTTCTGAGTAGGGCCATGCCAGCCAGGGCCGGCGGCTGTCCAAGAGAGGCCCGGGACAGCAGGCCACCAGGCTGGACAAGGACAGGAACCGGCAAAGGCCAGGCCTCAGGAAGGATGGAGGCAGAGGCTGTGGGAACAAGCTGCAGGTGCAAGGGTCCCCGTGACCTGCAGCCCGGGCAGGGCTCCCATACCGCTCCACGTGGACCGCAGAGGGCAAGTTCAGGGACCAGGCCAGGTGGATGCGGGAGCAGTAACCTCACTGAGCTGGCAAGCACACTGCTAGGACGAGCAGTCCGCCAGCACCCCAGCACCCGGCCGAGGCCAGCGGGCTCTAAAGCCACCTCAGAGGGCCAGCGGGTGGGGTGGCAGGTGGCATGGGATGGGGCTGCCTCTGAGGGTGCCCGCTCCTTGGGTAGAAGGGTGGCTGAGGAGCACCAGTTTCCACCTGTCTGTGGAGGAAGCCAGACACTTCCACTTCCTGCCACTCATCTCTACAATGTTGCTGACCCCTGAAGTTTCCAGTCCAAGGTAAAAAGTGACATTCGGGGAACAGCCAGCTGGGGGGTGGGGGGCACAAAAGGAGCCCAGGGCAACAGGGAAGGAGAGGGAGGGAGGAAAGAGGTTTCGGAATTAGCCCAGGACAAAGGCACTGGGGCCAACGCCAGGATCCCAGGCACAGACCTCAACCGGACACAAGGCAGCTTCGTCCATGACCCAGCAGAATACTACCAACCCAAGTCCCTCTACAATGGACGCCTAGCCTCAGGCCCTCACCAGGACATGCAACTCCAGGTACCTAAGGTTCCCTTCACTCAGAGAGCCACCCACAGGGCACACTGGCACAGCTGAGCCACAGGGCTGTGAGGCAGGCAGGGCCCAGGCCAGCCAGCACCCCCACCTCACCTGGGAGAGCAGAGCTCCACGTGGCCTGCAGCCCTGGGTTCAGGACGCTGGACTGGCTTGCATGCCCAGCACTCAGCCCTCTCCACTGGCTACGTTCCCAAATGCTCATTCCCAGGACTGCCTCTCCTGCAAGGCACACATGCTCAGCATCCCACAATTTTACCTAAGGCTTCCGGTCTCATCAGATGGGGTTCTGCTGCTTGGGGTACTGAGAAACACCCAGACAGCTGGGCACACCCACAGCCAGCATGAGTGCCACCCACAGGCAGCGCGAACACCAGGATGCCCTGATGCACAAGGGGTCCTCGGCCAACCTGCTCAGCACAGCCCAAGCACACCTCCAGACCGCCTGTTGCACAATGTGATGACATTTGTCGTCATCTCAGAGGACAACTACCTGAGGCAGGCTGGAATGGGCCTGCAGAGCATGGGGTCGGGGACCATGGGACCCTGCAGCTCAGCTGCTCAAACCAGCCAGTACCAGACACAGAGGACACCAGCAGAGCCCCACCCGGTACAGGCAGCTTACTGGCCAGTGTATGTGCGGCTCCCAGCTCAGAGTGCCCACTGGCCCTGGCCCTGAGGGGTTGACCCCAGGCCAGCAACAGGAGCAGAGCTGGCCAGCACTGTGGCAGAGCCATGTAAAGTTCCACTGCCCCACTTCCCATCCAGCTCCTTGCAGTGGCCTGGGAAAGTGGGAGACCTGGAAGAAGGTCCTGGCCATAGTGGCCATTTGGGAGTGACTTAGTGGAACAAAGCACTCCTTCCCCTTTAACTCTTTCAAATAAATTTTTCATTTAACAAACACACTCTTGGCCAAAAACCTTACAAATACGGCCTGGTGAAATGGTGTTACATGTACTAGGATTCCATGTGGGCGCTGGTTCATGCCCTGACTGCTCCACTTCCCATCCAGCTCCCTGCCTGTGGCCTGGAAAAGCAGTTGAGGTCAGCCCAAAGCCTTGGGACCCTGCACCTGCTTGGGACCCCTGACAGAGGCTCCTGGCTTCGAACCAGTTCAGCTCCAGCTGTTGCAGCCACTTGGGGAGTGAAGCAGTAGATGGAAGATCTGTCTCCTCCTCTCTATGAATCTTTCAAATAAAAATAAATCAACCTTGGGCCCGGCGCGGTGGCGCAAGTGGTTAAAGGTCCTCACCTTGCACGCCCGGGATTCCATATGGGCGCCGGTTCTAATCCCGGCAGCCCCGCTTCCCTTCCAGCTCCCTGCCTGTGGCCTGGGAAAGCAGTCGAGGACGGCCCAAAGCTTTGGGAACCTGCACCCACGTGGGAGACCCGGAAGAGGCTCCTGGCTTCGGATCGGCATAGTATCGGCCTGTTGCGCTCACTTGGGGAGTGAATCATCGGACGGAAGATCTTCCTCTCTGTCTCTCCTCTCTGTATATCCGCCTTTCCAATAAAAAAATAATAAAAAATAAATCTTTAAAAAAAAAATAAAATAAATCAACCTTAAAAAAGAAATTACTGAATTGTTGGAGACCTCCCCAAAATGAAAAAGCAAAAAACTCCAAAGCAGTCACAGGACGGACTGGCGGCATGACTCACTGAGCAGAAGGCGCCATGAGGGCAACTGAGACATGAGCTCATGTTAGGCAGGTTAACCCACCAGCCAGCCGAGGGTGAGCCTGGGGGCGCGGCAGCAGGCCCAAGAGGCTGCCCACGGCACAGCCCCAGTGTGCCGGTCCAGACAGCAGGAGCTGACGATGCTCCCTCAAAGCAGGCACAGGGTTAATGGGTAAAGCTGCTGCCTGACCCTCCTCTCCAGGTGCCTGCACACACTCCCGGCCTCAGCTGCGATGCAGGGCTGCTCCCACACCCAGGAAGCAGGGGAGGGTGCTCCTCGTACTGTACTTGGGCCCTTTGCACAATGAGGCAGCACAAGAAAGCGCACTCTCCCCCATCTGTAACTAAGTAAACCTTTTCCAAACAAACAAGCAACAGGCAAAGGGAGCTTGAAGGAGCATCCCAAGAGGCCAGAGTGCCCAGAGGAACTGGCAGGCCCACCCCCAGGGGCAAGCACAAGGGCAGGATCCCTCCAGGCCACGAGCTGCTGCCCAGCCACTGGCCTGCCGGCATTGCAATGCAGAAGTGGGCACCCCAGGGCTCACAGGCTGACCAATGGACGCTGCCTCCCCAAAGGGTGCTGGTGAGGGGAACAGCAGTCACTGCCAGGGTCACGGCCACGGGAGACGCAAAGGTCTATGTGCAGGCCTCCCCCACGCCCAGCCAGCTCCACCTGCCGTCCCTGGTGACAGGCACGGCATAGTCACATGCAGAGCTTGCTCACCTGGGGCTGGTGGGTGCACAAGCCACAACACGGATATCAACCCACCATGACCAGGGGTTCATGTCCCAGCTGCTCCACTTCCCATCCAGCTCCCTGCTACAGCATGGCAAGGGCAGCAGGGACGGCCCAAACACCCGGTCCTCGGACCTACAGGGGAGGCCTGGAGGTGCTGCTGCCTAGCTTAAGCCAGCCCAGCCAGCAGCTGCATCCACTGGGGAGCAGCGTATCTCAGACCCTTCTCTGCAAAGCTTTAAATGAATCCAGCTGCAGAAATGGATGGAGAAACACAGGCTGCTCATCTCAGGTGTCCACGGCGATGCACTAAAGGGACAGCAATGGCCAGAGTCCATGGGCAAGTCTGCAGAGAGGTGGTGGGCATGGGGTGCCATGGTAACCAGGGCCCTCCACGCTGGGGAAGGACGCCCAGCCCACTCACTGCTGTGGTGGGAGCACAGGGCAGAGGCAGACAGGAAGGTCCACAGGCCCTGGAGGCAACACAGGCCTAGGCCCCTCTACAGGGCCAACCACTTGGGACCTGTACTTGTTGGTCCTTGCATAAGCTCGTGAAGGCTGCTGGGCTGCCCTGTCAAAACTGAGAAACCGACCCCGCTGCCTAGCACAGCACAGACGCTGTAGACGCGGAGGGGCGCAGATGCATGGCCTGCTGTGCTGCAAAGGCCTCACCCGGGCACGAGCAGAAACGCCAGGAAGTCAGCCCTTGGGGAACTGTTCGGCAGAGGGGTCACCCTCAGCAGATGGGAACAGCTACTGGTGGAGGACACGGCCACAGGGCCAGGACACAGGGTCACTAAGGCAGGACCAGAGCCCAGGCCTCTGGCAAAAGTAGGCTGGTGTGCCAGGCCTGGATGGGCCAGGCCAGCAGGCAGTGGCTAAGCAGCCCCTTATTTTCACCTTTTACCACACATCAACAGAGTATGCACACCTAAGTCTGCAAGCAGAGGTCTCGTCCTTGGACTGGACACGCATGCTTGGAGCTAAGCCTCCAGCCACGGGGGTGTTCGGCCCCTGGAGCCCAGCTCCCGTAATAAGGCTCAACTCCTGGGTCCAACATGGCGGCCTAGTGGCTAATACCCTTGCCTTGAGCATGCTGGGATCCCATATGGGCACTGGTTCTAATCCCGGCAGCCCCACTTCCCATCCAGCTCCCTGCTTGTGGCCTGGGAAAACAGTGGAGGACGGCCCGAAGCCTTGGGACCCTGCACCAGTGTGGGGGACCTGGAAGAAGCTCCTGGCTCCTGGCTTCAGATCAGCTCAGCTTTGTCCACTGGGGGCACTTGGAGAGTGAACCAGCACACAGAAAAGGCTTCTCTCTGTGTATCTGCTTTTCCAATAATAAATCTTTTAAGAAACCTTTAAAAATAATCTAATTATAAAAGACCCAAGACCAAGGGTGCAGGGCCAGCCACAGTAGCCAGAGAAAGGCTGCCGCCCACCCAGCAAGGCCTGCCCCTGCACGCATGTGCACGCTCGCAGCACACCCTTCCGTGCACCCCAGGAGGCGGCAGGGCCAGCCCACATCATCCTGCCTCAGCATCCAGGGCTGAGGCTCCTGGCCAGGGCTATGGTCCCTTCCCGCGTCAGGGGACGCGGTTTCTGGGTCAAAACGACTATTCCTTAAATATATATATATATATTTTAGATTTATTTATTTTTGTGGGAAAGTCAGATAATATGGAGATCAGAGACAGAGAGGAAGATCTTCCTTCCAATGATTCACTCCCCAAGTGACAACCACAGCCAGAGCTGAGCCAATCAGAGGCCAGAATCCCAGAGCCTCTTCCGGGTCTCCCACGCAGGTGCAGGGTCCCAAGGCTTGGGCCGTCCTCAACTGCTTTCCCAGGTCACATGCAAGGAGCTGGATGGGAAGTAGGGCCACCAGGATTAGAACCGGCATCCATATGGGATTGTGGCATATGCAAGGTGAGAACCTTAGCCATTAAGCTACCACTTAACGCCAGAGATTTATTTGAAAGGTAACCTGGCAGCAAGCAGGGCTAAGTCAGGCATGAGCCAGCAACTGCACTGGGTCTCCTGCATTGGGGGCTGGCCGCAATCACACGGGCTCCGTGGGCCACCTTCCCAGGCTGTGAGCAGGTTGGGACTCCAGTGAGGGGAACTGGTGCCCAAGCAGCAGCCTCCCCTATGACACCATGATACCAGCCCCCAACGGCTACTCCCACCTCTTCCCACAAAGGGGTCTTGCGAGCTGAGGGCTACTGGGAAACCCAATCCCAACAGAGTGAGCCAGAGACATCTGGGCAGGGCGAAGGCCAACTCCACCAGGGCTGGGTGTGCATACACATTCCCAGCCCCTCTCTATACAGCGCAAGGCAGAAAACAGCCAAGCAAAATCAGAAAAGCCTCCAGGACACAGTGCCACACACTGCCAGCCAGACCGACCTAACAAGCACGCTCTAAGCGAAGACCTGCAGACAGAACATCTGCCAGCACTCCTCAGGGCCAAGCAGGGCAGGCAGGACATCGGCCGTGGCCTGCCGGTGATGGTGGACTCCCCCCATGGCGGATGCACAGCAGGCCACTCCCTTTACTAGGCCCCAGTGGTCACAGACACTGGGAGTGGACAACTTGCAAAGAAAAGGGGATCCCACTGCCCCACACAGGCTCACTGCAGAGCCACAAGCCAGCCCGCCTGCCCTCAAGAGCCTGTGCCAGGGCTAGCAACCAGCACAGCGCCCGCTGCCCTGTGATCAGGAACCCTTAACTTGAGGGACTTGAGGCCTGCCTGGGCCTTGTGGGGAATAAAACCCCCTCTTAACCAATGTGGGGTCATATCTAACGGCCTCATCACCCACTTCTCTCCAATCACCCTGGGGAGCACTGGAAAGTCTGGGACCTCTAATTCTAGAACTCTGCAACCTGCCTGTGCATTGGGGAAACCACCTCGTCCTGGCCACAAACTCAGGCCACAGCCCGGCTCTCTCCAACCACAGATCTGAGGTCAGACCGCAGCCACTTGTGACATGACACCATGGGCCTGATCCCAAGTGATGGGTCACACCCAGCAACAAGTTAACGCACCACCACGAGGTGCCAGCATTCACTCTGGGCACCGGTTCATATCCTGGCAGCAGAAATGGACCAAGCGCTTGGGCCCCTGTACCCCCCAGGGAGAACCAGAAAAGCTTCCTGCCTCGAGCTCAACTCCAGTTGTTGAAGCCATCTGGGGAGTGAGCCAGTGCATAGAGATCTTTCTCCTCCAAAACTTGCCTTTCAAATAATTTCAGAAAAAATTCTCCAAAAAACTTTTAAGTGAAAAATAGGTTAAAAACGCTAAATTCAGGCCTGCTGAGGGTGGGCGCGTGCTCACTGCCGTCAGCTGCTGCCAGGACAACAGCCTTAACAGGAGGCACCCCTCTCACAGAGGACAACTCTCTTTCTGGTTTTTGGTAAACATTCATTTTTATTTGAAAGGCAGATTTACACAGAGAAATCGTCCATCCAATGGTTCACTCCCCAAAGCGAAGCAATAACCAGGATGGGTCAGTCTGGAGTCAGGAGCCAGGAGCCCCTTCCCGATCTCCTGCCTGGGTCGTCCTCTGCTGCCTTCCCTTGCGGACCAAAGAACAGCAGGAAGGACACGCACAGCGCTCACGGGAGGATTAGCCCGTGCAGGCACAATTTCCTTTTATTATTTGTTTAAAGGTTTATTCATTTTTATTGGACTGTCAGATAACAGAAAGAAGAGGCAGAGATCTTCCATCTGTTGATTCATCCCCCAAGTGGCCACAACAGCTGGAGCGGAGCCTACTCCGGGTCTCCCACGCGGTGCAGGGTCCCAAGGCTTTGGGCTGTCCTCCGCTGCTTTCCCAGGCCATGAGCAGGGAGCTGGATGGGAAGCGGGGCCAACAGGACATGTACAGGCATTCATATTGGATCCCGGTGCATGCAAGGCAAAGGCTTCAGCCACTATGTTACTACATCGGGCCCTTATTTTTAGCATACATTTATTTTTGCTGAAAGCAGACTTACAGCTTCCATCCACTGGTTCACTCCCCCAGTGGCCGCAGCTCGCTCACTCATAGGCAGGAGCTTCCTCCCCAGGTGGGTCAGAAGGGAACTGGACGGGAAGTGAAGCAACCAGGACTCACACTGCTCCCCATATGGGATCCTGATACTTGGACGGGGAAGATTAGCCAGCTGCGCCATCGTGCTGGCACAAGGGGACAATTTTTCAAAACAGACAACGCCGTGGTCAGCTGCAGTGCGTGGCGGTCCAGTCCAGCCAGGAACCCAGGGACACGAGGCAGAGCCGTGTGACACCCCACAGGGGTGTAGCAGGGCCTTCCCCTGTCCGAGCCAAGATGGGTGGGCCAGCTGCACTGACAGTATCCGAGGACCAGGGCTCTCTGCATGGGCTGGCTTCTGGGGACCCCTGGAACTGCTGAGTCCCACCCTGACTCTGCCGGGTAGCACTCCTACCTGTTCCAGTGCCCCCAGCAACTGCAACATGTCGTGGCACCAGGGGACACAAGGTTTACCTGCACCCAGTTCCACATCTCACTAGCGTGGCCTCTGGGTCCCTGCACAGTACTGGTAAGGCTGTCGCTTGTGGTGCCAGCATCCCATCTGGGTGCGGCTCAGGTTCCAGCTCCTCCATGTCCAATCCAGCTCCCTGCTCAGCTTCTGGCTCTTGGCTTCAGACTGGCCCAGCTCTGGCTGCTGCACCCACGTGCGGAGTGAACCAGTGGACGGAAGGTGAAGTGGTGCAGCCAGGACATGACCCTGCATCCAAATGGCATGCCGGTATTAAGAAGTGGAGAATTACCCAGCTGAGCCATTGTGCCAGCCTCTAAAATAAATCTTTAAAAAAAATCCAGTTTGTAAAAAACTCCCAAACCTGCTGATAATTGGACACAATGTTTTCATCTTGGTGTGTCTGCGCTCTACTCTGTGCACCAAGCAGTCCCTCGAACAAGGAACAGACCCTTAGTGAGCACGAGGGACTGTGAGAAGCTGTGCGGGCAATCCTAGCACAGGCAGCAGGAGCAGCCCCTGCGCTGCCAGCATCCCACCCAGGCTCGGGAGGCCCGGCTGCTCCCAATGCTCGGCCCTGCACTCACATGGCAGACAGTCCGTCCCGGACACTGTGGCACCTGGGCAGTGCATCAGCAGGTGAGACACCTCTGACTCAGCCTTTCAAACACAGCCAAGGCAGCCGGTGGATCCTCTCCTAAAATCAAGCTTGCTCCCACAATTCCAACTTTGTTCTGCAGCAGATGGCAGCCCTCTAAGAACCGAGGCCTCATCCAGCAGACAGCCCACGCCCAGCACACACACCTACACACATGTGCACCCTGCTGTACGTACCCCAGAACACACACATGCCAGTGTACAACCACACACACGTGCACACCGCTCAGCATGCATGCACCCAGCGTACCACACACGTGCACACCGCTCAGCATACATGCACCCAGAACACACACTAACACACCCAAGCACATACATGTACTCTTGATGCAACCATGTGCTCACAATCCAGTGCACATGCATACACGCACCCTGAGACACGCTCACGCATGCGTCAGCTGGCACGTCAACTGTGGAGGGTCTCAGCAACCCCTGCCCCTGGGCAGGGCATGCCAGCACCACCTGCCCAGCTGTCCGTCAAGGACCTCACACGTCCGCACACTGGGACGCAGCCATGCAGTCTGACATGTATAACCCAGGGCCACACCGCGCTCCACGTACTAAGCTGCTGCCTGCGACGCCAGCAATCCCATCTGGGAACTGGATCCAGCCCGAGCTGCTGGTCTAGCCCCACCACTGCCCTGGGAAAGCAGCGGAATACAGCCCAACTGTCTGGCCTCCTGGGTCCAGGTGGGAGGCCTGCGTTGTCCCGGCCCAGCCGCAGTGTTACAGTCGTCATGGGGAATGAATCAGTGGATGCCACATCTGTCTCTCGCCCTAACTCTGGTTCTCGAATAAATCAATAAACCTTACAACACAAACAGGAACACAAGAGTTCCCTTTGCTGAGGCTATGGAGAGGGTGACTGCGCACCCCGGTGGGGCTGCCTGCACGACACACATGACACCTGTGGGGATACAGTTCCTTGTCTTTCCTAAGAAGATCATTGTACATCTGATCATAAGTGGTTTTGAAATCATAAACATTCGGCTTGTCGGGCGCTGGTCCTGGAAGCTTCACATGAGTCCCGGTTCCAAAGGAGCGCACGCTAAATCCTCGTTTGCTGAAAGACAGAAGGCAGAACAGCAGCATTAGGGCACAGAGAAGGCAGGCGCATCACAGCACCAAGGCCCAAGCACCAGGAACTGCACGGAAACGCACGCCGAGGGAACTACACAGGGAGTGGGGTGACCCAGTACCCACACAAGGAATGTATGCATCCAAGAGGCACAGGGAGTGGGGGAGACCCTGCACCCCAGTTCATGCCCCAATGCCCACAAGGGCCTTGGCAGGGCCCCGCAGAGGCCAGAAGCCCAGACGCCCTCTGCGTGGCACACATGGGGACTTGCCCCTTGTACCACCTAAACATGTAAACTGTGTGTCCACTGCCCGCAGCCGTTCTCCTCCAAGTGGTCACTGACCTCACAGCTTTAATTTTTAAATATAGCTTAATTCTGAAACTGGTTACACAAGAGCCAAATGGACTCCACCATCACTGACTCCTGCACACTGAGCCCTAACAGGGCACACCCTAACCCCAAAGCCAGGCTTGGCAGGACACGGCCGACACAAGCGTACGTTCTGGTGGAATGAACATTCCTAAAGGTGTTTTGGCTGCTTCTTCCAACTGTCCCACACCATGTCCTGATGCCCCCAAGGCAGGAGCCACAGCAGGAAGAGCTGAGCAGCCCCAGGCACCTGCGCGTGTGGACCCCAAGGCGGGAGCTCGGGCTGCAGGCAGCAGGGAATAGACCAGGAGGAAGCAGCCATCTCCAACGACAATCACTGAGTCCACCCTGGTGGCCGTGCGCTGCAAGGTCTGGAGTGTCACCACGGAACCACTGGGCCTGAGTGCTGCTCTGAAAGGGACTTTCTGACTCCCCTTTTTTATTTAAGATTTATTTATTTTTATTGCAAAGTCAGATATATAGAGAGGATAAGAGACAGAGAGGAAGATTTTCTATCCGATGATTCACTCCCCAAATGGCCACAACGCTCAAAGCTGAGCTGAGTTGATCTGAAGCCAGAAGTCAGGAGCTTCTTCCTGGTCTTCCACACGGGTGCAGGGTTCCAAGGCTTTGGACAGTCCTCCACTGCTCTCCCAGGCCACAAACAGAGAGTTAGATGGGAAGTGAGGCGACCAGGATTAGAACTGGAGCCCTGCGCCAGGCACCGTGGCCTAGCAGCTAAAGTCCTCGCCTTGAACGTGCCAGGATCCCATATGGGCGCCGGTTCTAATCCTGGCAGCTCCACTTCTCATCCAGCGCCCTGCTCCTACATGGGAGACTAAGTTGCTGGGTTCTGGCCTCAGCTCAGCTCAGCTCAGCTCAGCTCAGCTCACCTCACCTCCTCAGCTCAGCTCAGCTCACCTCACCTCCTCAGCTCAGCTCAGCTCACCTCACCTCCTCAGTTCAGCTCAGCTCAGCTCAGCTCAGCTCAAGCTGCCACAGCCACTTAACCCTGCAGGTGGTGGTAAAGCAGCAGATACAAGACTTTCTCTTTCTGTACCTCAACCTCTCCTTATGAAAAACAATTTTCAAATAAAAATAATTAAGTCTCTAAATAAATAGGAAACCTTCACGATTTAACACTGCAGGACCACATATAACTTTCCAAATACAATGTCTGGGGACTGACAGAATGGCCTAAATGGCTAATCTTCCACTTGCAAGAGCCAACATCCCCCACTGGCACGGGTTAGTGTCCTGCATGCTTCACTTGCATTTCAGTTCTCTGCTTGTGACCTGGAAAGCAGCAAAGGATGGCTCAAGCACGTGGGCCTCAGGACGCACGTGACCGACCTCCAAGAAGCTCCTGGCTTGTGGCTTTGGATCAGCTCAGCTCCGGCCACTGTGGCCATCCGGGGAGCGATCCAGCAGATGAAACATCGCTCCTCTCAGTGGGTCTGCCTGTCCAGTAAAGATATATCAATCTTTAAAAATAAAAGAACTGAAAAGAAAAAAGAAAACATGCCACGCGCATCCGAACTCGAGACGCGGGCAAATCCGACACTTGGCGGACACGAGCACACACAGATCCCCATGCAAGCCGGGTAACGGCTCAGCCACTAGGCTGCCACACAGGGTCTCATCAGAAATATTCTTCTTTATTCAATTTGCAGACATTAGAAATCAGTTGTTGGGGCCCGGCGCAATAGTGTAATGGTTAAGGTCCGTCTTGAACGTGCCAGGATCCCATATGGGCACTGGTTCTAATCCCGGCAGCTCCACTTCCCATCCAGCTCCCTGCTTGTGGCCTGGAAAAGCAGTCGAGGACAGCCCAAAGCCTTGGGACCCTGCACCTGCGTGGGAGACCCGGAAGAGGCTCCTGGTTCCCGGCTTCAGATCACCGCAGCACCAGCCATTGCGGCCACTTGGAGAGTGAATCATCAGACAGAAGATCTTCCTTTCTGTCTCTCCTCCTCTCTGTATATCTGCCTTTCCAACAAAATAAATAAAATCTAAGTGAATAAATAAATAAGTAAAATTAAAAAAAAAAAAAAAAAAAAGGAATGAAATCAGTTGTGGGGCTGGCAACACAGCTCAACTGCTAACCCTGCGCGCCGTCAAGCACCAGGCTCTCATATGGGCACTGGTTCTAATCATGGCAGTCCCACTTCCCATTCAGTTCCCTTTCTGTGGGCTAGGGAATCAGTCAAGGACAGCCCAAAGCCTTGAGACGCTGCCCCTGTGTGGGACATGCCAAAGAGGCTCCTGGCTCTGGATCCATTCAGCTCCGGCCATTGCGTCCTCTTGGGGAGCGAACCAGAAGATGCAAACCGTCTCACCGACTCTCCTGCTATAAGGCTACCTTTCCAATAACAGAAGAGGACCTGGGACCAGCCACTGCAGCTGCTCCTGTTGTCTGGGGTTTTGCACTGGGGTCATGGGCCATATTTTAAGCATGGCTTTGAGACCCAGACCTGCTGCCCAAAGCAACAGCTCATATCTCTCCCCACCCAGCTTTAAGCCTGGGAAACCAAAACAGAAAAAGCAAAAGCTTCCAAAATGCCTGTGCACCAACAAGCCCGGGCACCGCTGGCTCAGCCTGGACCTCCACTCCTCCTGTCTGCTTCTTGAAGCTCGCTCTCAGCTGGCACCAACACTTGATACCCCAGAACCCTCCAAGCCAAATGCCCAACCTACCTGGAGAAGAGTGGCCATCACCATGCCAACCACACAGCACACCTTTCCCCAGGGCTGGCAGAGGTCAGCGTCAGGACTAGACCCCAGCCTGCAAAGCCAGCCCTGTGGGCAGGAGGGATGGAGACCCCGCTGGAACTGTGGCTCTGCCGCTGCAGCCGAGGCTTGGGGACTGAGCCAGCAGGTGAGGCATCCATCCCAGCACCGAGTCCGGAAGTGTGAGAGGCAGCGAGTAGCCCACAGACTGCAGGCAGGGCGCCTGCAAAAGCTAGAGTGGCACTCCGGAGTCTAAGAGAGGTCCAGCCAGATGTCCTTGGCCATGGCGCGGGCACAGAGTCCCCACCTCCTCTGGCCGGCAGCAGGCCACAGTCCGGAGGGCCCCGCTGCCCACGCGGAGCCCACTTGGGCGACAGAATGAGGGGTTAGGGCAGGACGTCTTCTCTTCGTGTTCAAACTGCACCCCAGAAGCCCACGGGCAGCTCGGCTCTCGGAGTCCGCGCGCCCAGTGTGGCACAGAACCACCTGGCCGGGCACAGGACCTCCCGTCCCCTGGGCACAGGACACATCTCTCCCCTGGACACGGGCCCTCCCGTCTCCCTCCCCTGAACACATCTCTCCCCTGGACACGGGCCCTCCCCGTCCCCTGGACACAGGGCATAACCCTCCCCCGGACACGGGCCCACCCGTCTCCCTCCCCCGGCCGCTGGCCCACGGGGAGATGGAGCGGAAGCCGCTGCTGGCACGGGACGGGCTCGCCGTCGGCGGACACCGCAGGGGCGGCGGGGGCGGTTGAAGAAGCGCACCTACCTGAGGATGTTGTGCGCCTCCATGCTGCGGTTCTGGTTACTCGAGCAAACCACGGCCACCCGCAGCGGCGACGACGGCATGGCGCAGCCCTCTCGCGACGCCCACGACCAAGATGGCGGCGGCCGGACGTCCGCGTCCCGGGAGCTTGTGGTGACGTCACAACGCCGCGCCGCCGGAAACCGGAGGGACGCCACGAGGGCGGGGGAGAGCGGGCCGTGACGTCACCGCGTCGCATCGTGTTCCCCCTTGCCGTCCACCTGGCCTTCCCCCGGCCTTCCTCCTGGCTGTCCCCCTGGCCGTCCCCCGGACTTCCACCTGGTCTTTCCCATGGCCGTCCCCCTGGCCGTTCTCATGGCCATCCCCATGGCCGACCCCTGGCCCTCCCCACGGCCGTCTCCATGGCCGTCTCCTCCCGCCGGCCTCCTGAGGGTCTGCAGCCTCCCGCGGGGGCAGCGCAGGGCTGGCCAATGGCTGAGGCTCTGGCGCTTGCCCCGCATGCCATGTTTTCTGGAGAAGCAGGCGCGCCCAGAGGACTGTCCAGTCCGTCGGGCTTTCGCCCAGTACCCGGAAGGGGAACTGCAGCTGGCATGGCTGACCCCACATGCCATATGCCAACCTCTGGACTCGTTTAATATTGTTCCCAGCACAGGAGCCTAGGTCCTCGCCTTGAATGCACCAGGATCCCATATGGGTGCTAGTTCTTTTTTTAATTTTTTTTTGCAATCTCCACATAGTTGATTAGGACACAAAGGGTCAAGGGCTACAGGTTAAGTGGGTAAGAATATTGTTTCCACATTATTGAGGTAAGGGGTGAGACAAAGGGAGAAGCCTCACCCATCCCAGGTCCCCGATGTGGGGCATGCTCCGAGGGTCCTGCTCAAGTGGTTTTCTTGCCATTCCAAGTACAATGCAATTGCTGAAGAATCCACTCCGTTTGCCCAGACCTTCACTGCCAACACGTGACTGGAGCAGTTGATTGATTTGTTCTCTCCTCCGACCTCTTGTGGTACCAGATGTCCTCTGCAGGTTCCTGTGGATTGCCATATCCTGCATGTGCACCTGGATATGCTGTCCTCTGCTCCGTCTGAGCCTCTGAGGAGACCCAACTCTGACACTTGCACTCCATGACAGACCATGGAACACATGGTTAGGGTTCTGAGATTGAGATCGACAATTCAGTTAGGGAGATCCACGAAGAAATTTTGTCAGAAGTGATCCCAGACCAGATTCTTGTGTGTGCATGCCATTACAGGGTCTGGCAGAGTCTATCGCCTCAATCAGCTTGTGCATATGCTGGTGGTTGCAATTGCTGGGTCAGTTCTGTTTTCAGCCCTGTCTTCCACACATCAATGGGTGTTGCAATCCAGCCTGAGTCTGCCCACCACACACTTGGCCCCCACCCGAACCAGTGGGATCTGGAGCCTAGTTGGAGCAACCCGTAATAACCCCCACCAGGCCCGCCCACTGCCCTGGTTCCTGTGCTTGCCCATTGTTATGGGGGGCAGCCAGTGATAGCCAGCATCCACTGACAGTGGGCAAATGAAATGCGGCTGTGTCCCTGCACTCTGTCCTGAAGGTGGGTCCTAGCAGCAATGGAATGTTATCCATCCACCACCCCCACCTCTTAGGTATTCGCTCCTGCCCACCTGTGACTCAGCTATCAACTGAGAGGGGACGGTATTGCATTGTTGTGTAACCACTCCCCTCACAAGCCCCTTCTGAAAGGCCCGTGAAGCCAGGGCTCACTCTCTTTCTGGTCAGGTGCTTCCAGTACTCTGGCACCTCAACTCTTGGCTGACCCAGGACAGGTGACCCCCTGAGCATGGTCCCTGTGTCCTGCTTAGATGGGACAATGGATAGATAGAATAATGTTATTTCTGGTTTGTGTGCTGTCAGGAGTTCCAGGAGGGGTGAGACCTAGCAGTGATGGAACGTGGGCAGAGAAGCCAGGGAAAGGTGAATGTCTGCAGCTTTGTGAGTGTGTCCAGGTTATTCGTTGCATGGCTCTTAGGATAACTTGCATTGTTGGGGAAGCTGGGACATGGGTCTTCAGCTTAACGGATGGACATGAGGGGAATGACCATTTGTTTCCCTTTGTATTATGTTTGGTTGGCTTATGATTGGTTGGATTGCCATATGGACTTGTGATTTGCTATTTCTAGTATGTTCTGTTATCACCAAGCTTGGTTAATAAAGACTCCTTAATAAACCTTACACATATCTGGGATGATCTTGTCCGCACTCAGTAACACCCATATGTACGCAAACTACTCCAGTCTGTCCCGCGTCCCATTCAGTTTTTCTACGTGCTAATGGGCATTGAAGCCTTGTTCAACCCAACTGGGCCCACTATCCAGCCCACAGAGATGCTGGTGGGTGCCGTTCTGTCCAGCCAGGTCTGCCGTAGGCCTGGCCTCCATGCTCTGGTGGGAGTGAAACCCAGGAGTGAGGCGTGGGCGCTGTTTCTGATCCTGGTGGCCCCGCTTTCCATCCAGCTCCCTGTTCCTGTCCTGGGAAAGCAGTCGAGGACGCCCAAAGCCTTGGGACCTGCACCCGTGTGGGAAACCTGTAGGAAGCTCCTGGCTTTGGATCAGCACAGCTCTGGCCGCTGCAGTCACTTGGGAAGTGAATCAGCAGACAGAAGATCTTCCTCTCTCTTCCTCTTGTATATCTGACTTTCTAGTAAAAATAAGTAAATCTTTAAAAAGTATTTGTTCTTATTGAAAGGCAAAAAGATTGAAATGCCATTTGCAACTAGATGGTCCCAATTAGAGACCATTATGCTTGGTGAAATAAGTCAATCCCCAAAGGACAAATGCCGTATGTTTTCTCTGATATAAGGTAATCATCATGCAAGAATTTGCCCCAGTATGGCAGAGCCCAGGGGATGTTTCTACACCACATGGAGGCAGCCCCACCTCCTTTTGCATGGACACCCGACCACCCTGCTGAAATCTGTAATTCACTCAGGCATTGTCTGCTGTGGAGTCGGCTTTTTACTATCAACGTGAGCTTGGAGGTTAATGTCACTAATAATGTCTTGCAAAAGGGCTTTTAATTATTCACGCCTTCTCAGCTGTCCCCATTGACCTTACGCTCATCAAGGGACCTGTGTTTAGGGTCTCATTCTTTCCTTGATCTTTAGGTTCTCCTTGTCTTTGTGATACATTTCTTCCCTGAGCTGATTCAAGTTGTAGAACTGCTGGGGTCCGTGCAGTAGGTGTGGATGGCACGAAGGTGTGAAGAGAACAGCTCCCCTGTTTGGCAGGGCCCGGGGAGCTTCCAGCTATTTGGCAGGGCCCGGCGTATTTCTCTCTGACCACCCTGACGCTGTTTCACCCCCTGGCTGCATGGACACTCAAGCACCGCACTAAGAATTCTGTATTCTTTTGAGGCATTGTTGCTTTCCCCTGTGAGACAGTTTTTGCAGGTTTTTGCAACTAATGTGAGCTTGAGAGTCAATGTCACTGATAATGTCTTGGTGAGTGGGCCTTTGACAATTTACACACAGGAGCACAATTAAGCCCATGCCATTTTTGGACACCTTATTGGGTACTTAACCATTGTCTTGGAATTTGGCCCAGGCATGTAGCACACCTTCTGGGAAGGGGCTTGAAAATATCCTAAATATTAGTACAAGTGATGGGAGTGAGAGCTGAAACTGCTATGGCAATAAATATAGTTATTGTTATCTGAAAGGCTAGCCTGCCTTTGCAATTTTTTGGAGCCTAGAAAATGTAATTGTTTTAGCCGCTTTTATAATTTTTAGCTAGAGGAATTAAGGATGCTTTTATTAAAGAAAAAGACTTTTGATTATTGCTTTATTGTTTATAGGGTTGTAGGGGTCTATAGTTGTAGGGGGATTTAATATTTGAAGTTTTGTTTTAGATTTTAGGTTTTTCCCTTATAACCTATTTTCCCATTAAATGATGGGTAAATTGTAGAAATAGAAATGTGGTAGGAATGTACTACTGATTAGCAGGTAATCGCATGTCCTTGGCCTTGGAGTCCTGGCTGATGCTCCATGGCTGCTGTTGAAGAATGAATAATAGCTTGCTTTGAAGAATATGAATACAGTATTTTGCAAAATTATCTTTAGGAGCACCTGCTTAGCCTTGAAGTGCAGACGGAGTGACCAAATGTCTGTACATGCCCCCTTAATTTTGAAAAGAAAAAAATAGAATAGTTGCTTGTGCAGAAGCTTGAGAAGGGTTTTGAGTAAATAAAAAGGACAGCTTTTTCCTGAGCTGTGGTGAGAACGCATCAAGTGTCTGTGTCTGTGTCTTTCTTTATCGCCAACTCCACGCACCCTTCCCGAGCTCCGAACTCGGCTGGAGCTGGACTCCGGCATGGAACGGTTGTAGCAGCAGTGTGTCACTGCTTGATATGATTGATATGCGTCTATTGAGAAATGAAGGGCAGAATAATTTTTGGGCACACCCACTTGACTATGATGTCAAACGTCTGTGCCTGAGGGTCTTTGCATAAATAAAGGGAACAGCTTTCTTGCATTGTCCATTATGATCCTGAAATCGTAGTGCTCCATTTCTTTCCTGTTTCATGCAGCCTTCGTGAGTCCTGAACTTGGCTGGAGCTGGACTCTGGCAAAATTTACAGAGAGAAGGATGTAGAAAGATCTTCTGTGCACTGATTCACTGTCCAAGTGGTTGCAATAGCTGGAGCTGAGCTGATCCAAAGCCAGGAGCCAGGAGCTTCTTCCAGGTTTCCCACATGGGTGCAGGGTCCCAAGGCTTTGGACCATTCTCCACTGATTTCCCAGGCCAGAAACAGGGAGCTGGATGGGAGGATTTAGCTACCAGGCCATCACACCAGGCCTCCCCTTTATTTATTTTTATAGCTATGTATTCATTTATTTTAAACAGACAAGCCTTCCATCTTCTAGTTCCCTTCTCAGACGGGCACACTGGCCAGGGCTGGGCCAGGCCAGAGCCTGCACTTCACCCAGCTCCCACACTGGCATTTTTTGCTGTCATTGCCATCAGCAGGCAGCAGATGGGACTGGCGCTACATCCGTGCTCTCTGCCATTGCAGCACAGCCCTGGTCTCTAGAGACGCCATGCAGGTGTGCCTGCAGCGTGTGCCCGCTTTCCCCTGCTCCACCTCCACATTGCACTGGATCCTATAGCAAGTCACGTGCTCCTGCTGTTAGAGTGTGGGTCAAATGCTATTGTTGGGCAGGGGGAGGTTCCTTTGTGTAGAGAAAACCGCTACTTTGCCAGGCCAGGAGGCGCCTGGACTTTAGGAGGATTCCGCTTTAGTGATGAATCTGTTCTTTGCTGTCCTGCAACTTTGTGAACCCAGGTGTAGGGGGGCAGGGGCACAATTCTTCTCCGGTCCCAGGAACAGGAGGAAGATAAGGGTGTGAGAATGGGATGAGCCATACAGATAATGGGTATGGGAACAGAACAGGCTGCCTGTGCCTGAAGGCCATATAAATTAACATGTATAAGGTTGTTACTTTTGATGTATTTCCCAGCCCAAAAGGGCCTATATAAGCTTCTGTCGGGCCCGGCACAGTGGCGCAAGTGGTTAAAGGTCCTCGCCTTGCACGCCCGGGATCCCATATGGGCGCCGGTTCTAATCCCGGCAGCCCCGCTTCCCTTCCAGCTCCTTGCCTGTGGCCTGGGAAAGCAGTCGAGGACGGCCCAAAGCTTTGGGACCCTGCACCCGCGTGGGAGACCCGGAAGAGGCTCCTGGCTTCGGATCGGCATAGTATCGGCTGTTGCGCTCACTTGGGGAGTGAATCATTGGATGGAAGATCTTCCTCTCTGTCTCTCCTCTCTGTATATCCGCCTTTCCAATGAAAAAATAATAATAAAAATAAATCTTTAAAAAAAAAAAAAAAAAAAAGCTTCTGTCTTGGGCTGTTCGGGGTCCGACCGGCCCGCTTGGCTGGCCTGTGTGCCCCAAGTGCGGTCTGGCCCCAGCATGCTGGCGCAATAAACTCTGTTTGCTGTTTGCATTACCAGTGAGACTCTGTCGTTCTCTGAGGGTTGACTAGCTCGCACCCTGAGGTCCGGGGGCTTTAGCCCGGACTCTAACGCTGCCCCACGTGCTGGCAGTCCCGGCTCCGAGGGGCTGGCTGTGCCATCTCAGGGCAGTGCCCCTGTGAGGACAGAGCTGACAGCTCAGGGATGCCAGCTAGTTCCTCCATGATCTTGCCCTGTGGCCACTTGCCTCCCCAAGCCCCACGGCCAGGAGGAACCTCCATCAGTGCAATGGCTCAGGGTCTCTGATGCTGTTGCTGCAGGCCGGGCTGCTCCGGCCACCACAGCCATTTAGGCAAGGAATCAGGGGATGGCCAGTCTTGATCTGTCTTTCCTCTTTCTATTGCGACTTTGCCTTTCCACTAAAAATACGTCTGTAGGTAACTGGGAGATGGATCTGCGTCTGCTCGTTCACCCACCAGATGGCCACAACAGCCACGTCAAGGTTATCCTGTTTGGTGAAAGGGCCGGCCCCCTGTTGCTTTCTCAGGCAGCTGGCAGAGAGCTAGGACCTCCGCTCTGTCTCACTGGTGTGGCAGCGCCGAGCTCTGGTCACGGATGCCTGGGCTGTCCCAGCTTGTGTCTGTTGCACAAACTGCTAGGAGTGGCTTGGCCTGCGGCGTGCATCGACCCAGTTCAGTTGGGCTCTGGCGCTCAGCTGCCTGCCGTGGGGAGAACTGAAGGGGCCAGACCCCACCCCAGCTGTGGGGGATAGAGCAGATGGGTCCTCCTGTACTCGCTCCCTTTACACCTTTCAAATAAAGTAAGTCAAAATTCAAAAATAAGTTCATTGAACTATAAAAACAGTGAAGAGGTAAGCAGAGCTGTGTGGTCCAACAGCACCCACTCACCATATGGGACTGTCAACTGGTCTAAAATTTAAAGATGGAGCCAGCATCGTCACACGGCTGGTTCTGGCATCCCATGCGTGCGCCAGCTCTTACCGCGGCTGTTCTGCTTCCAACCCAGGTCCCTGCTGATTTACCTGGGAAGGAAGGCAGCGGAAGATGGCCATGACACGCACGTATGTGTCCTGGCTGGAGCTGCCTGGCCCAGCAGCCCACCCCCGTCGTGGCCATCTGGGGAATGAGCGAGTGGACAGGAAGAAGCCTCTCCCTCTCCTGCTGCCTTCCCATAAATCTTTGGAAATCAGTGACACAAGCTGCATTGGTGAGCTTGTAGGGCCGCGGTGAAAATGCTATTGGGGACACCGGCCCCCGTGGTTTCTAGGTCAAGCACTGACCTCTGCTCCAGCTCCCGCTTCCTGCCTGCGTGCATCCTGGGAGGCGGCAGGGGCTATCCCAGGGGCTGCGTGTGACCTTCCACCCGTACTCCAGGCCCCTTCAGGTTGGCTGCCTGAGGACTCTGCAGCAGGGAGGCCCAGGAGCTGCCCAGAGGATCCTGGGGCTGGGCACTGGCTGCAGCTCCGAGGGTTGGCACGCAGCAGGGCCTCCGCCACAGTGGCTGCAAGTCCTCGAGCCACATTGCCTCGCCGAGAAGCTGAGGCCTGGGCAGCGTGCAGCTCCAGGTCAGAGCCGACAACCTCTGCTCCTTGACAGGGAAACCAACCAAGCTGGGTACAAGCAGGGAGAGTGCCAACCGCTCCCTGATGCCCACATGGTGCCCAAATGGTGGCATGTGCATCAGCAAAGTGTTGTGGAGGTGGGGGGCCACAACCCAGTGTGGGCTTTGCCTGTTCACCTACCACACCACACTTACCCCAGAAAGTGAGGCGAAACGCCGAGAAAAGCCAAACACTGGAAAGCCAAGAGGCAAAACTGCTCTGGGCGGGACAACCATGTGGGTTCAAGCAAGGACTCTCCCGCTCCTGGACCTGCGCCTCCTGGGTGAGACAGGCAGGTGCACGGGGCCACGTGGAGCCCAGGGACGCTGAATGGAAAGGTGAGGTCAGCCCTCAAGGTGGCCAGCCTCCAGGGCTGTCCTACTGGGCAGGACCCCAGTAAACCCCTCAGCTGTACCTAACCACAGCAGAAGTCTAGGACCCTCCATCCCTGCTTCCTCAGGGTGTCTCAAGGGCGGGGCAATGGGCCGGGGTGGAGCGGGGCACGCACACGCCTGCAGTGCTGCAGGGGAGGCCAGCAGGGCCCCTCCAGAGCCCCAGGACTGCTGCTTGTCACAGCTCCAGTGGCTCCCTGGCAAGAATGGGCTGTTTCCAGGGCTAGCAGGCACTGGCACCGCCCCACCAACAGCTGCTTCCCCGCAGGCCTTGGGGCTGGTGGCTGGGGGCTGCTGCCGGAGCCCTGGAGGAGCCTGCCTTCTCCCCTACCCCCACCCAATAAGCACACAAGACTGTGTTTCTAGTGTGAGAATGTTCGGCATTTAGACACCGACACCACGCGGGGGCAGGCAGAGCGGAAACGGAGAGGTAGGGTGTGGGCACCACAGGCCCCGGCCAGGGCCCAGGGCCGCGGCCTTCTTAATGTGTGGGGGTCAGCTCCAGTAGCCGGGAGGTGCTGTCCCAGTCCCCCCTCCCCCCGCTGGCCGTGGCTCAGATTAGGGTGTGGTCAGCCTCCATCCGTGGTGGGTGGTGCAGGCCCATCGCTGGTAGCAGGTCCCCACACCAACCTCTGAGCACGGAAAGGGTTGGGCAATGCTGTCCATCACGGCCACTAGAGTCGCCAGGCCGGGCTGAGGCTGGCACTTGCAGGCTTGGGGCAATGGCCCACGGGCGAGACCAAGCAGCTACCTTTCCACCTTCTGGCTTCAAGGTTGGACACCTGCTCTGGCTCCTACAGAAGCAGCAGGAGCTGGCACAGGGTCAGAGGACACTCCCTGGGGTGGTGGGCAGAAGGCAAGCCTGTCAGTCACCGCGTCAGGAGGACACGGCCGGGGAAGCTGGCCAGTCTCAGGGCCACAGACACCCCGGGACAGCAGGCCAGTGGCCAGCTCTGCTGGGGCCTGAGAGACTAAGGCACAAACTGACCCCAACCCGGCAGGAAGGACAGCGACCAAGCAGATGTTGGCCTGGCCCCAGACAAACTCAACAACTCGCGATGGCTGGGCAGGGCACTCGCTGATCTGGGGGGGTGGGGGGAGGGAATGGCTCTTGCTGGAAAAGGCCACACGTCCTGGCTGGCCCAAGAAAGACCTCTGGAGAAGGGGGAGAGGGGCTCCTGCATGCGGCTGAGCTGGCACCTGCAGTCCAGGCCCAGCAGGCAGTCCCCAGTCGGAGTAGGGGGAGGCACAGGCGCCAGCTGGGAAGCGCATTGGATGCTGTCAGGGTCCTGGTGCAGGGAGGAGGTCCCCCCCTCCTCCCAGCAGGGATCTTTAGGGGAGGGAGCAGGAGTGGGGAGGGGTGGCGCGAGCCGAGGGCTTGGGGTCTCAGGTGCAGCGTGCGGGCCGTGCACGGGTAGGCGGGCCGCCTGGCACCTCACGGCTGCCCGCGTAAGCCAGGGCGCCCGAAGGCAGGGCGCATGAGGTTCTCGGTGATGTAGGCTACCAGCAGGCAGATGACCACCAGCATGACGCAGATGGAGCCGCCCACCGCCGTCATGGCCACCACGATCTCCTGCATGGCGGCCGGCTCGGCGATGAACTCCACGCACTCGGCGGGCTCCGGGACAGCGGCGGCGGCGGGGGCGGCGCGCAGGGGCAGCGGCTGCAGGCACAGACGGTAGCGCACGCTGTCGTGCACGTCGGTCAGCAGGTAGTCGCGACAGGACGCGCCGAGCAGCACGCGATCGCACGGGAAGCGCGTGTAGGCGCCGCGCCACGAGCAGTTGAGAGCGAAGGCGCGCACGCGGCGCGCCTCAGCCGGCGCCAGGCGCCACTGCAGCAGCACCGTGCCGTTGCGCAGGACGCTGGCGCGCAGCGAGCCGCCGGCCGAGGCGTGCACCGCGCAGGCCGGCGCCAGGCAGCCGAAGCCGCGCGCGGGGCTGCGGAAGCACAGGCGTCCGCCGCCCGCCTCCGGGCCCTCGGGCAGCACCTTGTAGGGGCACCAGGGCGCGTCTGCGGCCGGTTCCCAGCCCGGCGGCGTCGGGGCGGCCGCGTCGCAGGGCGGCGGCGCGCAGACAGCCAGCAGCAGCAGCAGCGGCGGGGCGCGCATCCTGCGGGTGGGCCGGCCGGGCGCGGGGCGCGGACTCGCGAGCGCACGGGGCGCAGCGTGGGTCACGCGGGCCGCGCCGCCGCCGCTGCCCGGCGCACCGCGCCCTCCGCCGCCGCCCGCTCCGGCCCGCCCCGCGCCCCGCGCGCACTCGCTCGGTCCCGCCCCCGTTAACCCTCACCGGGCCGCGGCGCGCCGCGTGGGCGGGGACCCCGGCTGCCTCGCCGTGGGGGCGCGCGAGTCAGTCCCGAGGGCGGCCCCGAGCGGGGGTCCCCGCTGCACGGCTCGGCAGATGCACCGGGCTACGCCAGCGGGGAACTGGGTGCCTTTCCAGGATCTGTCCCGCGTCCACGATAGGGACCGGCATGGGAAGGGTCGCGCCGGCCCGGGACGATGACAGAAACTTTTGGTGCTTGACGGGTGGGCACGCCCACTCCACGCAGGGTCTCCGCCCACCACAGAGGGGCGTTGCAGAGGAGAGCCCTTCCTGCGTTGCCCAGCTCGCGTGGCCCCGGGGAAGCCCTGAGGAGGCGGCTGCACCGCCACGCGGAGGGCAAGGATCCTCGGCCACAGGATGCTGGCATCTTCACCCGTCCAGCTCCCAGCTTGGCCAACTGGAAGCAGAGCTAAGCCCCTCGGTGTTGGGGCGGGGATGCTCCCGGAGCTCCTGGTTCTTCGCCTCCAGGCAGCCCTGTGCCCACATGCATGCCCAGCTACGCCCAGCACGACCCTGTGTTGGCACCAGATCCCAGGAGCTTTGTCCAGCGGGAATGCATAGGGCCAGCCCCCGTCCCGCACCCGTCCCGCACCCGTCCCGGAGGTCCCCTCTGCCTGGGTCCTGGTGGGGAAGGCCTGGAGGAGAGGCACGGAGCTGAGCCTTCCATCTGCAGCGCCTGGGCTCCCACGAGCCCTGGCTTCCTGTAGGGACTCTGGGCCCCAAGCCTGTCCTGCCAGGGCTGCAGGACGCCCCTGTGGACGCCTGGGGCACCTGCCACCCTCCGACCCCCAGCTTGGGGGTGCTGCTGCCCCACTCCCACCTGGCACAGCTGTCCACAGCTGAGGGGGTTGGGGTAGGGCTGTGCCCCAGCTGCCCACGAGTGGAAAGGCTGGAGGCTGGGGAGGTAGGTTGTCCACCAGAGTTGCCGGAGGTCTTGGCAGCCGCACCACCGGGTGGGCCGATTTGCTCCTAGAGCCCAGCGCCGTCACGTCAAAGCCGGCCTAGGACGTCGTTGTCGCACCAAGTCCCATGAATCAGGCGCAAGGGGCCCACACCAGCCCCCACTTCCACCCAGGGCGCCTGAGGCGTGGAGCCATTGCTTGGCCCCACAGCCTGGGCTGCGGCGTGGCCACTGTGATGAGGTGCAGCCGGTTGATGGCTAGCACCCACTGGTCAGGTTGATTGCCAGTGGACAGTGCGTGGCCCAGCTCTGCCCTTCCTGCCGCCTCCCGCGCCTTCCGGTTAGTGGATAGGGTGGAGACGGCTCAGGAGGAGGCGGGCGTGCACCTGGCACTCCTGCCTCCTGGTGTGCTAGGTCAGTTTAGTTAGCTACAGGCTCCAGCAGCTCCCTTCCTGCCTCCTGCACGGAAACCGTTCTGTATGGCTCTCAGAGGGATTGAAGGATAAGAGCTTAAAACACCTTGACCTGCCTGGGTCGCAGTGGCTCCTGGAGGGCAACGGCGGCTGTCACCAAGCTTGGGCAATAAAGGCTCCTCTTCATGGCCCGGGTCCAGTGTGATCTCTGCTCTCCACAACAGACCTCTGCCCAACTCCCAGCCCCTGGGAGTGACACGTCCATCTCACCGGGGACATGCCCACTTCCCTTCACAGTTTACAGACCCAGAAGTGATGCAGAGTGGGCCAGGCTCTCCATGCACAGGGACGGATTGGTGACCAGCCCTGTCTTCTCAGGCCGAAACCCTTAACTGGAGCCCGCACTGAAGATCATGGGATGAAGGGGTGGTCCCTGCTGTCACGCCCCTGGTCGTGGCCCCAGCTGCCCACTCTCACCTGCATGGCAGTGGCTCTGGACGCCAGATGGCGGCCTGTACTCCTGACCCAGGCACCGCAGGCATTCTGGGGATGGGAGCTGGGACTCACATCTCGTGTTTTCAACATTTATCTATTTTTGTGGGAAAATCAGGTATACAGAGAGGAGGAGAGACAGAGGAAGGTCTTCCGTCCGATGATTCACTCCCCAAGTGACTGCAACAGCTGGTGCTGAGCTGATCCAAAGCCAGGAACCAGGAACTTCCTCCAGGTCTCCCACACAGGTGCAGGGTCCCAAGGCTTTGGGCCGTCATCGACTGCTTTCCCAGGTCACAGGAAGGGGGCTGGATGGGAAGCAGGGCTGCTGGGATTAGAACCAGCACCCATATGGGATCCTGGCAGGTTCAAAGTGAGAACTTTTAGCCACTAGGCCAGGGCACCAGGCCCATCACGTCTCATGTTTTGCCCCTCCCCCCCAAAGAAACACCCTTTACGCCAGTGGTTGTCAGGAGGAGCCCAGTGCCCACTTCCTGAGACACGTCCACCTGACCTCCTGTTGTGACAGGAACAACAGACGGCCTGGGCACCCCTACACCCCACAACACCAGGCTGATTCCTGCTCTGCACCTGGGGCCATGGCTGCTGGCTTCGGCTTGGCCCAGCCCGTCTGTTGTGGCATCTGGGGAGTGCACCAGCGGGTGTAAGAGCTCCTGTGTCTCGGTGCAATTTTTTTTTAAAGATTTCTTTATTTTTATTGCAGTGTCAGATATACAGAGAGGAAGATCTTCCGTCCGATGATTCACTCCCCAAGTGAGCACAACGGCCGATGCTATGCCGATCCGAAGCCAGGAGCCAGGAACCTCCCCTGGGTCTCCCTCGCGGGTGCAGGGTCCCAAAGCTTTGGGCCGTCCTCGACTGCTTTCCCGGGCCACAGGCAGGGAGCTGGAAGGGAAGCGGGGCTGCCGGGATAGAACCGGCGCCCATATGGGATCCCGGGCGTGTAAGGCGAGGACCTTAACCACTGCGCCACCGCGCCGGGCCCGTCCATTCTTTTTTAAAAAAACTTTATTTTGGGACTGGTGCGGGAGCCTGTGTCTAAAGTTGTCACCTTGCACACGCTGGGATCCCATATGGGTGCCAGTTCATATTCCGATTGCTCCACTTCCCTTCCAGCTAACTGGGAGTGTGTCCCCGGTCCTGTGTGTCCCATGTGTCCCTGTGAGCCCCAGCAGGACCCGGCGCGGAGCAGGTTCACTGGGGTTTCCTGGGCTGTTGTGCCTCACTTGATCTCCTTGGAGTAAGGTCCTGGCTGTCCGTGTCATGGCTGTTCCCCTTGCTCTGTCCCCTCACAGCTGTTCCCTCTCACCCCGTCCCCCACACCCCGCCCCCTCACCCCGCCCCCCTCACCCCGCCCCCCTCACCCCATCCCCCTCACCCCGCCCCCTCACCCCGCCCCCTCACCCCGTCCCCCTCACCCCATCCCCTCACCCCGTCCCCCTCACCCCATCCCCCTCACCCCGTCCCCTCACCCCATCCCCCTCACCCCATCCCCTCACCCCGTCCCCCTCACCCCATCCCCCTCACCCCGTCCCCTCACCCCGTCCCCTCACCCCATCCCCCTCACCCCGTCCCCTCACCCCATCCCCCTCACCCCGTCCCCTCACCCCGTCCCCTCACCCCATCCCCCTCACCCCGCCCCCTCACCCCATCCCCCTCACCCCATCCCCCTCACCCCATTCCCTCACTCTGTCCCCTCACCCCCTCCCCCTCACCCTATCCCCCTCACCCCGTCCCCCTCCCCCCACCCATCCCCCTCACCCCATCCCCTCACTCTGTCCCCTCATCCCGTCCCCTTTCCCCAGGCCTCCTGTTGACTGAGGGGCACAGGGTGTCTGCACCAGTGTTTTCCATTAAAAAAAAAAAAAATATATATATATATATATATATATATATTTGTTTGTTTTTGTTGGAAAGGAAAGTTTACAGAGAGAAGGAGAGACAAAGATCTTCCATCTGCTGGTTTGCTCCCCAAGTGGCTGCAGCAGAAGGAGCTGAGCTGATCCAAAGCAAAAGTCACCCACGTGGGTGCAGGTGGGTGCAGCGATGGTGGATGGGGGTGACAAGGCTTTGGGCGGAGCTCGACTGCTTTCCCAGGCCACAGGCAGGGAGCTGTGTTGTGGGCAGGAACAGGAACTGGGCTTGTGGCTAAAAGCACCTAGACTGATCGGACTCATCTGTACCCAATATCCTGCTAAATGAGGATGTGGGAAAGAGAATATAAGGAGAGCTGAAGGAGCAATACTTCGCAGAGACTTCCTCCATCACTGGTCTCCTGTCGGTGCTGCACCCCCAGACCCTCCCCCTGTCCACGTTACTGGCTCAGCTGCTCGGAGCAGAGCTGATGGGGGTGGAACAGCCACACTTGAATTGACACCCACATGGGATGCTGGTGCCATAGGCAGGAACGTAACCCACCATGCCGTGATGCCAGTCCCAAAGGAGATGAGACATGGCATGGACCAGCATGGACATTAGTGCCCACCAACCCTGAATATTCCTGGATCTACTGAGGCTCATGGCCTGGGATGCCACATCCCACAACAGAGCCTCCCTGGGCAGCAGCCCCCCCCCCAGCTCCCCACTGACACTCATGCCCGCGTGGGCCCTGGCTGTGATTAGATGTGGCGTGGAAGACCCCTTGGACCGTCCGTCCTTGCAACAGAAGGACAGAAATAAACAAACTGACGTCACTGCTGGACTAGTTAAAAATATATTTATTTATTTTTATTGGAAAGTCAGGTATACAAGAGAGGAGAGACAGAGTGCAAGATCGTGTCTGCTGATTCCCTCCCCAAGTGGCCGCCAGGGCCAGGCTGAGCGGATCCGAAGCCAGGAGCCAGGAGCCCCACGTGGGTGCAGGTCCCAAGGCTTTGGGTGTCCTCCACTGCTTTCCCAGGCCACAGGCAGGGAGCTGGATGGGACGCGGAGCAGCCCGGACATGATCCCTGTAAGGATCTGCAAGGGGAGGACTTGAGCCACCCGGTTACCGCACTGAGCCCACTGCTGGACTTCTCATTTGATCTCAAATCCTGAGCCGGAGCTGTCCCGAGCGCCTTCCGCTGGACCCCGATGGGTGGGGATGACGAGGGCGGGATGGGTGAGGAGACTGGGGTGTGGGTGACGAGGGTGGCGTGGGGTGCTGAGGGTGGAGTGGGGGTGGCGAGGGTGGAATGGGGTGCGTGGGGTGGCGAGGGCAGAGTGGGGGAGACGAGGGTCGGGTAGGGAGCCCGAGGATGGGGTGCTTTGCGCCTCCTCCTTGCAGTGTGGAGGGCGAGTGCTTGGCACAGCAGGCCCGGTTCCCAGTGAGAATTCCTGGCCCCTGACCCCAGCCTCGTGCCGCGTGGGCCCTGGGAGGGTGTCACTTGCTGTTCGCCCGGGGTAGGGGTGTCGGGGACCCCTGCACTGTGAGCCAGCCGTGGCGCCCACCCGCCTGCCAGTCAGCACCGCGCCTGCGCACTGCCTTGGGGCACAGCGGTCTGCGCCGGACCAGCCGGGGCGCCATCCGCCCGCGGGCCCCGGCCTTCTTCACCCGCCGCCTCCGGGCGCCTCCGCAGGGCTGGACGGCGGTGGACCGGGCCTCCCCTCGGCCTGCCCTGGCCCGGCTGCAGGCACTGACGTCGTGCCCAGTGTCGGGGCGGCTGCGGCCCGGCGCGTGGACGCTTCCCTCTCAAACGCTTGGCAAACAAAACCTCCGGGACGAGCGGGGGCTGGGCGTGACGTCGGGTCGGCGCACCCTCGAAGCCCCGCCCACTGCGCCAGCCGGACGTCACTCCGGGCCTCCGTCTCCACGGCAACGGGATGCGTCCCGGGGATGGCCACTGCACAGGCGCGCGGGAGGCGTGCGGCCGCGCGTCGCAGCCGCCCGCCGGGGCCGGTCGCGCCCGCCGGAGCCGAGCCCGGGCTGCGGGGCCTCCTTCCCGCCCCTCCCGGCGGGCGTCGCCCCGCCTGCTCCTCCCGGGCGCCTGCGGACTACAAGTCCCGGCAGGCCGCGGGCTCCGGGCGGCCTGCAGTGGCCGCCGCGCGCCCGGCTGTCCGCCTCCGCAGGGCCCCGGGGCCCCGGCCTCACGGGCAGCGCGGGAGCTGCGGGCCAGCGCCGGGGCGGCGCGGACTGCGCGACCGGGGCCGAGGCGGCTCGCTGCGTCTCGGCTCTGCCCTCGTCACAGGCTGGCACTGCCCGGCCCGGTGAGCTCCTGTCGTCCGGGGGTTCGCGCGCGGGCGGGGGCGTGATGGGCACCCTCGGTGGCCGAGCGCAGCCCCGGGGACGGGTCGGAGGGACGTGACGAGTGCGCGCTGCTGGCCCCCGCAGGCGCTGCCCTTGGACGGGTCCCCGGCCCCAGTGCCCACCCAAGGTCAGGTCCGGGCAGTGGGCTGCAGAGGGCCCAGCCCGACCCTCCCTAGGCGTGGCCGCAGGTGCCCTTGTCCACTACCCCCTAGCCGCCTCTGCCGAAGGGGCTTTTTCAGGAACCCCCGCCTCACCTGAACCCTGTGCCCTCAAATCCCCGCCCTGGGCATGCCTCAGGCTGCCCAGCCCAGGGCCAGGGGTGGCCACGATGCTGTGACAGCTCTTCCAGGGGAGCCCTGGCCGCGGCTCTTACACTCGGCCACAGTCGCCCGGGATAGGGGTGTCGGCTGGTGACCCCGTGTCAGGCTGTGGGGGCATCGGCACACCTGGGCACCTGCTCCCTGCTGGAAGTCTGCCTTGCCCACCCCTGGTCCCACCTGCACTGGCACGCACCCCTCTTCGTGGGCGTATCGCCAGCAGACAGGGCAGCTCACAGGCCTCCCATTGACTGGGAATTGGGGAGAGGGGTCCCCGCTGCTGCCCCTGGCAGGGGGCACTTGCCTGAGTCAGTGTGTGGCCAGCCTCTTGCCTTGGGCCCCTCAGCCTTTCTCTGGGACTTGCATGGCTGGTGGAGTAGGCCCAAGCCCTCTGACCCAGCGTCCTGGGGCTGGAGGGGACAGTGATGATAGGGACGGCCAAGGGCAAGCCCCCGCCTGAACCCAGGGACAGACAGGGGCCCTCCGCGGGGGTCAGGAGCTGGTGCTAGAGCCCTCCCTGGATGGGGGTGGGCAGGCAGGGCAGTGAGCCTGTGGTGGGGACGCCCCCTCTGGAGGGAACCTCCCTTGTGGAGTCCAGGCGCTCTGAGGCTGGCGGCCAAGTCCCTGCCTGGCCCCACAGTGGTAAGGCACCTGGCCAAGGTGGGGTTGTACAGGGCTGAACGGGGCTCTGCCCCAGCCCTGGCCCCCCGGGCGGGGTGTGGGGCACCAGTGCACTTGGTCCCTCCCCTCTCGGGGCCCTCAAGGGGTGCAGGTGGCCTGCAGGGGAGAGGGGTAGAGAGGGGCGACAGTGTGCCCACCAGGGCTGGACAGTCATGCAATGCAGGCTGTGGGCAGCTGCGGCCAGGCGGGCCCACATCCCTCACCCTCAGCAGCTCAGGGCACTTCCGGCTCATTGGAAAGTACCCAGAGGGGCTGTGAGCCAGCAGGCGTGCGGTGTGGCCCCTGGCCACAGTGACCACAGTGCTGGCTCGTGGTGTGTGTGGTCGCTGGCTGGGCCGCTGCCCTGCCCTGCTATGGCTCCTGCCAGGCACCAGGCAGGGAGGCCCTGCCCTGGGTGTTGCCTTGCAGTGAGCAGTGCTGGGGGCCCAGAAATGCCAGCAGCCTGGGCCTCACTGCGCTGGGCCACTACTCTGCCCCTGGCCACCACCTGCACGGGCAAGGGCCAGCTACCAGGAGGCCCTGGGCAGCAGGGGCAGTGGGTGTACCTCTCCAGCGTGGATACCCAGGCTGCTTGGCCTCGCTGGGTCAGGAGGAGGAGGAGGAGGGGCTGTGGAGCTCCAACCACCGAACCAAGTCCCTGTGTGTACTTGCGATGTGAGAGCTGGGGCCTGGCACCTGGGTGGCCGCTGGCCCCTCAGCCTCTGGGGGGGAACCTGCTGGGGTCACTGCCCCTCAGCCTCTGGGGAACCTGCTGGGGTCACTGCTCCTCAGCCTCTGGGGGGAACCTGCCGGGGTCACTGCCCCTCAGCACCTGGGGGGCCTGCCGGGGTCACTGCCCCTCAGCACCTGGGGGGGCCTGCCGGAGTCACTGCCCCTCAGCACCTGGGGGGCCTGCCGGGGTCACTGCCCCTCAGTATCTGGGGGGGCACATGGGGGGGTCACTGCCCCTCAGCACCTACCGGGGTCACTGCCCCTCAGCACCTGGGGAGTTTGCTGGCTGTCCCGGGACACCAGCTGCTGCTCTCGCTCACTCTGTCCCCACCAAAGGGGAACAGCTTGCATGGGTCACCCCAGACAGTGGCGAGTGCCAGGCCTGTGTGGAAGCTGTGGCAGCATGGCTGTGTCTGATGCCTGTGAGAGCGGATGACGTGGAAGATAAGGCCCCGGCTGCAGGAGGTGATGGGAAGGCAGAATCCTGGGACGCTGTGGGGACCTCTGGGGCCCCAGACGGGGTCAGGGTCTTGCTGCTAAAGCCCCTGCTGGCTTCTGTGGCAGCCCTGGTGGACCTGGGCACCAAGGGGGGAGCAGAGGCCGGCTGAGAGGTCTCTGTAATAGACGCCGGCCTCCACGGGGCTTGGGTGCTCGTGTGGGCCTCGCCCTGGCCCAGCTGGGGGCTTGGGCTGTGCTGCAGTCCACCTGGGCCTGGGGTGTCCTGGACTGGCCAGGGCTGGGGTGTTGAGTGTCATGCTGCGGGACAGGCAAGGCCCAGTTCAAGGTGCTGGTGCCTCTCGCTCTCCTGGCTCCACTCCTGTCACCTGCAGGATGTGCTGGCTGGGGCCTGGCCCGTGGCCCAGGGCTCACGCTCCTCCGTCTGCAGTGTCAGTTCTGTCTTCACCCTGCCTGACATGGGGCCCGTGCCCTGGGAAGGATGGTCAGGTCACCCTCGGCCCACGGCTTGGTGGCTCAGCTGTGGCCAGGTGCCCGGCGTGGTCATCTCATGGGCGTCTGGTCCTTTCCCTGGAGCTGTGGTCCTGAGAGGACGCACAGCCGGCCAGCTGAGTGTCCTCTGGGCCGGGGACTTCATTTCTGCCCTTTGGCATTGGCTTAGAGACAGGGCCAGAGGTCTTCCATCCCAGGCTAACCCCATGTGCTTGGACCAGGCTGAAGCTAGGAGCCTGCAACTTGGGGTCTCCTACAGGGTGCAGGGCCAGGCTCCTGAACACCGGGAAGGAATGGAGCCACTGGGACTTGAATCGATGCTGGCCACCCAGGAAAGTGTCCGGTGGCTCAGGCAGAGGCCACGTGTGGTGCTGGCCACCCTCCCAGGTTGCCTGCCCTGGCCAGGGGTCTGACCTTGTGGGCATTGTGGGCTGAGGCCTCCTGACCCCATCTGAGCGTGCCCTCTGCCCGCAGGGCCCCGAGCCACACTGCCCATCATGGATCCGGATCCCCAGGCAGGCGTGCAGGTGGGCATGCGTGTGGTACGCGGCGTGGACTGGAAGTGGGGCCAGCAGGACGGCGGCGAGGGCGGCGTGGGCACGGTGGTGGAGCTCGGCCGGCACGGCAGCCCTTCGACACCTGACCGCACCGTGGTGGTGCAGTGGGACCAGGGCACTCGCACCAACTACCGGGCAGGTTACCAGGGCGCCCATGACCTGCTGCTCTATGACAACGCCCAGATCGGTGCGTGAGGGGGCAGGGGAGGGCTGGGGGCAGGGCCGGCCCCTGGCACGGCTGGACTGCCCCTGCCGCGGCTGGACTGCCCCTGCCGCGGCTGGACTGCGTCCCCTGGCCCGCAGGCGTCCGCCACGCCAACATCATCTGTGACTGCTGCAAGAAGCACGGGCTGCGTGGCATGCGCTGGAAGTGCCGGGTCTGCTTCGACTACGACCTCTGCACACAGTGCTACATGCACGACAAGCACGACCTCAGCCACGCCTTCGAGCGCTACGAGACTGCCCACTCGCGCCCGTGAGTGTGGGGCTGCAGGGTCCTGACGAGGGCCCCCAGGGGCGAGGCCCCTGCGCCTGTCACCCTCCCGTGCTCTCCCGGAGGACCAGCTGCCGGCCTGCATCCCGCAGGCTGAGCCCCCTCTGGGCTGCAGTGGGTGTGCGTGGAGCCTGAGGCCGGGCAGTGCCCGAGGCTGTGCGGGGCCCGCGCCCGCGAGCAGGCGGGACTGGCAGGTGCTCCCCGCCCGCTCAGGTGCTGTTCTCTTGCAGTGTCACGCTGAGCCCCCGCCAGGGCCTCCTGCGAGTCCCTCTGAGAGGCATCTTCCAGGGCGCCAAGGTGGTGCGCGGCCCTGACTGGGAGTGGGGCTCCCAGGACGGTGAGTGGGGCCGGGCCGCGGGCGGGGGCAGCGCGCCCTGGAGGCTTGAAGGGGACGCTCTCTCCGCAGGAGGCGAAGGGAAGCCCGGCCGCGTGGTGGACATCCGGGGCTGGGACGTGGAGACTGGCCGCAGCGTCGCCAGCGTGACGTGGGCTGACGGCACGACCAACGTGTACCGCGTGGGCCATAAGGGCAAGGTGGACCTGAGGTGTGTGGGCGAGGCGGCCGGCGGCTTCTACTACAAGGAGCACCTCCCGAGGCTTGGTACGGGGCTGGGCCCCCTGGGGTGGCTGCCCCCACCCCCTGCGGGCAGGGCTGCCGCCTGAGGCCGCCTGCTCTCCTCCCCCGACCCCAGGGCGGCCCGCCGAGCTGCAGCGCAGGGTCAGTGCCGACGGGCGGCCCTTCCAGCACAGCGACAAGGTCCAGTGCCTGCTGGACACGGACGTCCTGAGGGAAATGCAGGCAGGCCACGGAGGCTGGAACCCCAGGATGGCGGAGGTGAGCGCGCCCGCGCCCACCCCCTGCCCCCGGAGGCCCCCCACCCACCCCCTGTATCTGTGACCCGCCTCAGTGCATCGGACAGACGGGCACTGCACACCGCATCACCCACCGTGGGGACGTGCGTGTGCAGTTCAGCCCTGACACCCCCTGGACCTTCCACCCCGGGGCGCTGACCAAGGTGCCTGGGACCAGCGAGCCATGCCTGGCCCTGGGTGGGGAGAAGGGGATGGGCAGAGGGGCCCAGAGGAGGGTGAAGCAGCAGCTTGGCCAGGGCTCCCCATCCTGGGGCCTGCTGGAGGGGTTGGGGGCCTGGTCAGCACCGGGCCTTGGATGGAAGGATTTGCCGTCAGCACCTGCAGCGTGGGTCTAGGTGGCTGCGGAAGGGGTGTGCCCGGCCATGCAGCCCCTGGCCTGGCAGTGTCCACGCCTCCCGTGGGCCCCCATGGCCTTTCCACTCCCCAGGCTCCCAGTCTGTGTAGATGCAGCTGCCCAGTTCACCCATGGCCCCTACCCAGCCAGGCCTTCAGGTTGGGTTTGGGGTCAGGTCCAGGCCTGTGCCGTGGGTCCCTGGCAGCCGTGCTGAGTGGAGCCCCTCCCAGGGCTCAGCTGGCCATGCTGAGCGGCAGCCCCTGACATGCGGCAATATTGGCAGCACAACGCCTTCTGGGTGGGTGACGTGGTGCGTGTGCTCGATGACCTGGACACGGTGAAGCAGCTGCAGGCCGGGCATGGCGAGTGGACAGACGACATGGGCCCCGTGAGTCCCAGGCCCCTGCTGCCTGTCACCTGCCCCCAGCCGAGGCCTGCCGTGACCCCCGCCTCCCTATAGGCCCTGGGCCGCGTCGGGAAAGTGGTGAAGGTGTTTGGAGACGGGAAGCTGCGCGTGGCCGTGGGTGGTCAGCGGTGGACCTTCAGCCCGTCCTGCCTGGTGGCCTGCCGCCCTGCCGAGGACGCCAGTCTGGCTGCAGCCGAACCTGCACGGGAGAACAAAAGTGCGCCCGTGGGGAGTGAGGGGCAGCGGGGGCGGGGCTCCCCAGCACCACTCACTGAGGCCCTGCTCCCAGGCTCCCTGAGCTTGGCCCTAGAGAAGCTGCGGGCCCAGAAGGGCGACCTGGAGCACCCGGGCAGGCTGGTGGCTGAGGTGGCCCTGGGCAACATGGCTCGGGCACTGGAGCTCCTGCGGAGACACCCGGAGCAGGTGCGGCCTCCCCTCCTTGCGGCCTATGCCAGCTCAGGCTCAGGGCCGAGCGCAGGGCCTGACACTGCTGCCCCCGGGCAGGTGGACGCCAAGAACCAGGGCCGGACAGCACTGCAGGTGGCTTCCTACCTGGGCCAGGGGGAGCTGGTGCGGCTGCTGCTCCAGGGCAGGGCCAGCGTGGACTTACCCGACGATGAAGGCAGTACAGCGCTGCACTACGCAGCCTTGGGGTGAGGCCCTGGCGACCCCAGGGCAGGGACAGGGTCCCTCAGCAGTGCCTGAACCTCCCACTCCCCCCGGCCCCGCAGGAACCAGCCGGATGTGGCCCGGCTGCTCCTGAGTGCTGGCTGCGGGCCGAACGTGCTCAACCGCAGCCGGAGCTCGGCACTGCACGTGGCCATCAGGAGGGGCTTCCTGGAGGTGGTGAGAGTCCTGTGCGAGCGCGGCTGTGACGTCAACCTGCCTGTGAGTGCCTGCCCCGCAGCCCGGCCAGCACCCAGAGGGCCAGGTTGCTGTGGGTGACTGCCCCCTGGCCTGCAGGACGGGCGTGCGGACACACCCCTGCACGTGGCCATCTCCGCGGGCACCATTGCCAACAGCATTGTCGAGGTCCTCACCGAAGTGCCAAGCATTGATGTCACCGCCAAGAACAGCCAGGGCTTCACGCTGCTGCACCACGCGTCACTGAAGGGCCACTCCCTGTGAGTGCGTGGAGGGGTGTGGGCGTGGAGGGTGTGGCCCCGCACTTGGTTTAGCCACATGGCAGGCATGGGGGGCCGCATCCTGTGAGTCGCTGGGTGGGATGTGACTGCCAGGCGTGCATGGGGGTTGGCCATGCACTGCCCGTGCTGGGGGGCGAGCTTGCATCCTGAGCATGCTAGAGGTGAGTGCACAGTCCCCCTCCACTGCCCGGGGCGCCGCAGGCTCCCGGCAGAAACCCGCGCTCCCGCAGAGCCGTGCGGAGGATCCTGGCCCGCGCCCGTCAACTGGTGGACGCCAGGAAGGAGGACGGCTGCACGGCGCTGCACCTGGCCACGCTCAACAACCACCGCGACGTGGCCCAGATCCTCATCTGTGAGGTGCGGGGCGGGTGGCAGGGTAGGGTGCGGGGCCGCGGGGCCGAGCTGAGCTGCGCCCCTGCGTGCCCCTCCGCAGGGCCGCTGTGACGTGAACGTGCGCAACGGGAGGCTGCAGTCCGCGCTGCACCTGGCCGTGCAGCAGGCGCACGTGGGGCTGGTGCCGCTGCTGGTGGACGCGGGCTGCAGCGTCAACGCCGAGGACGAGGAGGGCGACACGGCCCTGCACGTGGCCCTGCAGCGCCATCAGCGGCAGCCCCTGGCGGCGGCCGGGGGAGACCCTGCGCCCTCGCAGCTGCTGTCCAGGGTGGGGATGGTACCCCTGGCAGGGGAGGTAGGTTCGGGCAGCGGCCTGGGCTCCGGCCGCCTCGTGACCCTGTCTGTCCACCTGTGCTTGGCCCAGCTGCAGGCCTCGGGCCTCCCGGGCATCGAGGAGCTGACGGTGGGTGCGGCCCTCGCCTGCTTCCTGGCGCTGGAGGGCGCGGACGTGAGCTACGCCAACCACCGCGGCCGCAGCCCGCTGGACCTGGCCGCCGAGGGCCGCGTGTACAAGGCCCTGCAGGGCTGTGCCCAGCGCTGCCGGTGAGGGCCCGTCGGGGTGTGGGGGAGGATCCCCCCTTTGCCCCCCTCGGGCCTTTTCAAGACCCTCGCTCTGACGGCAGGGAGCGCCAGGCGGGCGGGGGCGCAGCACCGGGCCCCCCCAGCACCGTGACGAACCTGCACGCGGCCACCGCCGCGGGGCCCGAGGCCGCCGAGTGCCTGGTGTGCTCTGAGCTGGCGCTGCTGGTGCTTTTCACGCCGTGCCAGCACCGCACGGTGTGCGAGGGTGAGCAGAGCAGCCCGGGCAGGGCGGGCGGGGGGCTGGGCAGGGCGCCCCTCCAACGCTGCGCCCGCCCCGCAGAGTGTGCGCGCAGGATGAAGAAGTGCATCCGGTGCCAGGCGCTCATCGGCAAGAAGCTGCGTGCAGGTGGGTGGGCCCTGCCCACGCCCGCCCCGCAGGCGCCCCGCGCCCTGGCCCGCTCACACCCACCCGTCCCGCCCCGCAGACGGCTCGGAGGTGGCGGGCCCCGCGCCCACGCCCGGCGCGCCGCGGCAGCTGGTGGAGGAGCTGCAGAGCCGCTACCGGCAGATGGAGGAGCGCATCACGTGCCCCATCTGCATCGACAGCCACATCCGCCTCGTGTTCCAGTGCGGCCATGGCGCGTGCGCGCCCTGCGGGGCCGCGCTCAGCGCCTGCCCCATCTGCCGCCAGCCGGTCCGCGACCGCATCCAGATCTTCGTGTAGCCGCGCCGGCCCCGCACCCGCCCGCCCGCCCGCCCTGTATAAAGCGTGTTCGCACTCTGCCTGCTGCCTGCCTGTCTTGGCCGCCCGGCGCCGGGGGTGGGGAACACGTCCAGGAACCGCCCAGCCCGCGCTTGGGCGGCGCAGCCCCGCGCCCAGGCCGGCTCCCCGCACCCCGCGCTGCACCACAGAGGCGACCCCGCCTCGCACAGCCACCGGCCGCGTCATCGAACCCACCTCAGGGTGCCCACCGCTGTCCCCCGGGACCCCCTACTCGCTCCTACTGTGTCCCCGCCAGCCCCCGCCTACTCGTTGCCACGTCCCTCACTGCAGCCCCCTTCCTCCGCGGGCTGCGCCCCGGCCGGCCACGCGCGGCCTCCGCCGGTGGCCGGGAAGGTGGCTCCGCTGTTACCGGGCCAAGTCCACCGGGCTGTCCCGCGACCCCGCGGCCTTCTGCGCTGGCCCTCCCGGCCACCCCGCCCAGCGGGCGGAGCCCGGGCCGCAGGCCCCGTCTCGCGGGGGGCCCGGGGCGCGAGCTGCCAGGCGGCGTGGCTGCTCCGGCTTCCAGCCGCCCGGCCCCCGCAGGCGCCGCCCCGTCCCCCGCTGTAACCCGAGCCGCCGCCGCCGCCCCGCGCACCCCACCGCCCAGGCCCCGCACGCGCCGCCCCTGCGACCCTGCACCCGACAGCCAGTCCGCCATGGGCCGCGGGGCCTGCGTCCCCTCGGAGGCGTCGGGGCGCGTCCAGGGCCGCGGGCTCAGAGTGGTGCGGGGCGCCCTGTGCCTCGTGCCCGTGCTTGGGCTGCTGGCCTGGCTCGGGGCCCCGAGCGCGGCGCAGGTGAGCGGGGGGTCCCCTCGAGGTGCCTGTGGCTGCGGGTCGACGGGGCCCGAGAATTGGGGTATCCGGCGGGACAGTGGTGAGCCCCCTCCAGCTCCGGTGCCTTTTCTTCACTGAGAGTCCCTCGTGCGGGGTGGGGAACCAGGGATGCGGGCGCGTCTCCTTCCTGTCCGCCGTTTTCCACACGTGGGTTTCTGGAGTGCGGGACGCGCCCACCGCCGCCTCTGGCGCGTTTTGTCCCCGCCAAGGGCGAAGTCGCCACGCTGGATGCCACCACCCAGGCCCGCGGAGCGGGGCCCCCGCCCGTGACCCGCAGGCGCCGCTACACGCTGACGCCGGCCCGGCTGCGCTGGGACCACTTCAACCTGACCTACAGGTGCGGGGCTGCGCGGCTGGCGGGGTGCGGGGACCTCGCCCTGCCGCTGACCCCAGCCCGGTATCCCCAGGATCCTCTCCTTCCCGCGGAACCTGCTGAGCCCCAGCGACACGCGGCGGGGCCTGGCCGCCGCCTTCCGCATGTGGAGCGACGTGTCGCCCTTCAGCTTCCGTGAGGTCGCCCCCGAGCAGCCCAGCGACCTGCGCATAGGTGCGCCCTGTGCCGCCTGCCATGAGCCCTCCCATCCCCGCCTCGGGACCCTCTTCCCCCCGGGTCCCTCTCCCCACCTCCGGGTGCCCCTCCCCGCCTCCGGGTGCCCCTCCCCGCCTCGGGGTCCCCCTCCCCGCCTCCGGGTGCCCCTCCCCGCCTTGGGGTGCCCCTCCCCGCCTCAGGGTCCCCTCTCTTGGCACCCACTCTCCATCTCGGCGCCCCTTCCCCACCTCGGGTTTCCCTCCGCACTGCAGGACCCCTCCCTGCCTCAAAGCCCCTTCTCCACCCCTTCCCACCTTGGGGCACCCCTGCCCACCTCAGAGTTTCCTCTTCGCCTTGGCACCCCCTCCCTGCCCCTTCCCACCTTGGAGCATCCCTGCCCACCTCAGCCGCCCTGCCTCAGCGCTCTCCCCCTGCAGGCTTCTACCCCGTCAACCACACCGACTGCCTGGAGTCGGCCCTGCACCACTGCTTTGACGGGCCCACGGGGGAGCTGGCGCACGCCTTCTTCCCCCCGCATGGCGGCATCCACTTCGATGACAGCGAGTACTGGGTGCTGGGCCCTACACGCTACAGCTGGAAGAAAGGTGCCGGGGTCAGGGGGCCGGGCAGGCACGGGGGAGGCTGTGGGTCGCTCCCTCCTCCCCCGTGACTGCATTCCTGGGAACACAGCTCAGCGTCGGCCCAGAACATTCTTTTGTGTCTGGGCTGCCGCGGGGCCCCGGGCCGGGTGGCTGTGCTGACCCCGCACTCACAGGCGTGTGGCTCACGGACCTGGTCCACGTGGCGGCCCACGAGATCGGCCACGCCCTCGGCCTGATGCACTCGCAGCAGGGGCGGGCGCTCATGCATCTCAATGCCACACTGCGTGGCTGGACCGCGCTGTCGCAGGACGAGCTGTGGGGGCTGTACCGGCTGTATGGTGGGTGCCCCGCGCAGGCCCGGGCAGGGGACCCTGGCTGGGCGTCAGGCGGCCCCTGAGCCCACCCCTACCCGCAGGCTGCTTGGACCGGCTCTTCGTGTGCGCGTCCTGGGCTGGCAGGGGCTTCTGCGAGTCCCGCCGGAGACTCATGAAGAGGCTCTGCCCCAGCAGTTGTGACTTCTGCTACGGTGACCTGCACTCCGGGTGGGCGGGTGGGTGGGTGGGTGGCTGGTGGACACACTGACCCTGTCCTTCCTCCACCCTGCACAGCGTTCCCCTTGCCGACTGCGGCCACCACCCTGCCACCCCCCAGAACCAAGACCAGGGTGGTCCCCGAGGGCAGGAATATGACTTTCCACTGTGGCCGCAAGCTGCTTTCCAAGAAAGGCAAAGTGTAGTGAGTGTGGTGATGGACCGGGAGGTGGGCAGTGGGCCGGGGGCCGGGGGCCGGGCGCTGCCCACCGGGCCTCTACTTGCAGCTGGTACAAGGACCGGGAGCCGCTCGAGTTCTCCCACCCGGGCTACGTGGCCCTAGGCGAGGCGCGGCTGAGCATCGTGGCCAACGCCATCAACGAGGGCACCTACACGTGCGTGGTGCGCCAGCGGCAGCGAGTTCTCACCACCTACTCCTGGCGTGTGCGCGTGCGCGCCCCATAAAGCACTTTTCCCAAAGACTCGGCTCTTTCTTGGGCGTGGTTGGACGTGCAGGACCCCCGGTGTTCTGCAGGTGGCGGCACAGCCGGGCACACTCAGACAACTGGGAGCAGAGCCCGGCCTGGGCAGGACGCGCCCACGCACATGCGACATTTCCCATTGCCAGCACGTGTTTCCCTCCACAGGAAAACGGTGTTTTATTCCACAAATTTACAAACCAAAGTATAAAAACAGAAGGTGGGGAATGTGGTCGGCAAGGACACGGCTGCAGGGCCCTCCTGGAGCTCAGAACTTGAGGCTGAAGCCGGGGCCCGCGGCCGAGGCGCCCTGGTTGGTGGTGGTGAGGTGGAAGCCGGTCTCCTTCAGGTCGTCGTCACCCTGCAGGTCAGCCGTGTGGTTAGCAGCAGCCCAGCCCCGGCCCCGGCCCCCGGCCCGCCTCGGCCCCCGGCCTCACCAGCTGGCTGTAGCCCAGGCCTCCCTCAGGTGGCCGGGGGCTGGTGCCTCGCTTTACTCGCTGCTGCTCACTCTTGGCAGGCCATGTGGGGAACATGGACGGGTCGATGGGCAGTGGCGTCTCCCGGAAGTACTCATGCTTGAGCCCGTCCTCGGCGCTGATCCTCCTCCCAGGGAAGTAGGTCAGAAACCTGTGACACGGGCCGTGGCCTGCGGTGTGAGCTCCCAGGGCTGTGACACAAGCATGTGGCCTGCAGTGTGAGCTCCCAGGGCCGTGACATGGGCTGTGGCCTGCGGTGTGAACTCATAGGGCCGTGACACGGGCTGTTGCCTGCAGTGTGAGCTCCCATGGCCGTGACACAAGCACGTGGCCTGCGGTGTGAGCTCCCAGGGCCGTGACATGGGCTGTGGCCTGCGGTGTGAACTCATAGGGCCGTGACACGGGCTGTGGCCTGCGGTGTGAGCTCCCAGGGCCGTGACACAAGCACGTGGCCTGCGGTGTGAGCTCCCAGGGCTGTGACACGGGCTGTGGCCTGCGGTGTGAGCTCCCAGGGCCGAGACACAAGCACGTGGCCTGCAGTGTGAGCTCCCAGGGCTGTGACACAAGCACGTGGCCTGCAGTGTGAGCTCCCAGGGCTGTGACACAAGCACGTGGCCTGCAGTGTGAGCTCCCAGGGCCGTGACACGGGCTGTGGCCTGCGGTGTGAGCTCCCAGGGCCGTGACATGCCCCCCCACCGGCAAGTGAGCGGCTCACTTGTTCATGAGGTCGAAGCCCTGGTCCGAGAGCAGTGCCCCGAAGCGCTTGCGCAGGTTGTTATACGGGTACTCGCTGAAGGTCATCTTCTTGACGGCGGGCAAGTCACTGTAGCCTGGCCAGATCTTCTCACTGGGGGTGCCCAGGTCCTGGGAGGCAGAGGGCGCTCAGGGCCACGGCCCCGTGTAGCCCGCCTGGCCCTGGCACTCGTGGCAGCGACACTCCTACCTTGAACACCTTGTTGATCTGGTCAATCTCTGACTTGCCAGGGAACAGCGGCTTCTGGGTTAGCAGCTCCCCGAAGATGCAGCCCACAGACCACATGTCAACGGCTGTCGAGTACTCCTGGGGGGCCAGGCCACAGGGCTCAGGGCACTGGCCGGCTGGGCACACCTGCCACAGGGCCAGGGGTCCCCGACACTCACCTTGGCCCCCAGCAGCAACTCCGGGGCGCGGTACCACAGTGTCACAACCACAGGGGTGTAGGCCTTCAGTGGGGACCCATATTCCCGGGCTAACCCGAAGTCACCCACCTGCCAGGCCATGGTGGGGACAGTGCTTAGGGGGGCGGTGGCCAGGCAGCGGGATGGGTGGGCAGCAGGGCAGTGGGGCGGGCGGGCGGGCAGGGCAGGCAGGCCGGCCAGCAGGTAGCAGGGCGGGCAGGCGGTGGGGTGGGAGGGCAGTGTGCACCTTGAGGACACCGGCATGGCTGAGCAGCAGGTTGGACGTCTTGAGGTCGCGGTGCAGGATCCAGTTGTCATGCAGGTGCCGCACCCCGCGCAGCAGCTGGATCATGAGGGTCTTCACCTCCCCTGAACAGAGACACCGTCAGCGAGGCCCCCCGTGCCCCCCGTGCCCGGGCACACCAGGCAGGAAGGGCTGCAGCGAGGCCCCCCGTGCCCGGCACACCTGGCAGGAAGGGCTGCTTCATGGTCTCCATGAGGCTCTTCAGGTCATGCTCCACGTAGTTCATCACTATGTAGATCTTATCCATGTTGCTGCCCACCACGATCTCCTGCGACACATGGGCGTGGCTGCAGCGGGGGCTCCACATGGGGATGGGGGCTGGCGGCTCTGCACAGGGCCCGGGGGCTCACCCTGACCGTGACGATGTTGGGGTGCTGTGCCTTGAGGATGGTGTTGATCTCACGCAGAGACGTGATGGGAAAGCCCTCCTTCTCCTTCTCCATCTTCAGCCGCTTCAGAGCCACGATCTCATCTGTGGGGTCGGGGCGCCGGGCAGTCAGCCCCACAGCGGGCTGCGTGAGCCCCTCCCCGCCAGCCCTCCTGGCAGGTGACAGCTCACGCCTTTGGGGCTCCATACCCACTTGGGGGATCAGGCTCAGTGTGGCCCTGGAGGCACTGGGCAGCCGCCAGCAGACGGAGGCTGCTGCCCGGCGTGCTGTCTGGCTCGGCCGGGCTGTCTCAGTGTGGACCTCAGTGAGAACCCCGGGGCACGCCCCACGCGTGGGGCTGGAGCACACCGCCTCCACGCCCTCGACTCCTCAGGAGAAGCTGCCAGGGCCTGGGGATGTCACCGGTGACACTCAGGTGCTGATGTGACTGTGCGGCGGGGCCAGGCCTGCCCCACAGCCCACTCAGCAGTCTACACAGTCCTGGAGCCCGCCCTCTGACCTCTGGGGCCATGACCTGGTGCCACCATAGGATGGCGCAGGGGTCACCAGCCCTGGCGGACAGCTAGTGGTCAGATGAGACAGACAGAGAACAGCTTGATGGGACCAATCAACGCCCTGGGGCCCTGGGCGACAGGCCGAGGCCAGCACGGGCACAGCGCACCCACCAAGCGCACCTGTCTTTTTGTCCTTGGCTCGGTACACGACGCCGTAGGTGCCCTCCTCAATCCTGTTCAGACACTGGAACTCCTCCACACTCCGGCAGCCCTGGGGGAGGCGCCGGACTCAGGGCCTGGCCCTCGCTTGGCCCCCGTGCTCCCCCAGGACCGGGCAGCGCGGGGCCCCACCTGCAGGGCCGGCAGGTACTTGGGCAGCTCCGGCTTGAGCTCCAGCGGTGACAGGGCCGGCGAGTCGGGCACACAGTCTCCCTCGGTCAGGGCACTGCTCCGCGGGGTGCCCTCACCCACCTCTTTCTCCCCGTCTTCACTTCCTCCCGAATCTCGGTCAAAGCGCGATTCTGGAACTTTCAGAGTGAAACCTTGGGACGCCCGCCGGGGGCCCCCGTCTCGGGCAGCAGCCCGGGCCCCGGCCCCCGACTCACCAACCAGCACGCGGCTCTCGCTCTCCTCCTCATCACTCATCTCCTCGCTCACTTCCTCTGCGTGACGGCAGGTGTGTCTCAGGCCGTGGTGTCCTGCCCACCACCACCCAGGGCTGCCCACTGTCCAGGGCAATCCGCCCGCCGCCCAGGGCCCCCCGCCGCCCAGGGCCTCCTGCCCGCCACCCAGGGCCGCCCGCCGGCCGCCCACCTGCAGACTGCTCTGACACCTCCTCTGAGTTGCTGCCTGTCTCCTCCTCCTCCTCCTCTTCTTCCTCCTCCTCCTCCTCTTCCTCCTCGGACTCTTCACTGGTGCTTCCTTCTTCCTCCTCTTCCTCTTCCTCTTCCTCCTCCTCGGACCCGGACCCTGACTCAGCTGCAGGACGAGTGGGGGACTGGGTGAGCCGGGCCTTGGGGTGCAGCACAGGGAGGCGGGGCGCACGCACACACCTGACGAGGACTCGGCCGAGCTGGTCTTCCTCTCGCTGTCACTGACGTCCTGCAGGTCTGAGAGCGGGTCTCTCTCCTCTGCCTTCTCTTCTTTCACTGCGGGATGCAGCGAGGGGCGTGAGGGAGGCGCCAGCCACAGCCCCGCAGCCCCTCTGACAGTTCGGCTGCACAGCCACACCCCAACATGCCAGCGCCCCCGCACTGCACAGGAGGCTGCAGCGGGGCTGGTGTGTCACTCATTCATTTGACCGGCAGATGTCAGCTCCGGCTGCCTTCCAGTGACCACAGCGGCTGGGCCGGGCCAGGTCAGTCCTGGTCTCCCTCGTGGGTGTAGCGACCATCCTGTTAAGAGCCAGACTACAGGCCTTAGACTTGGTCTACCTGGCAGCCTGCCGCACTGCAAAGCCTGCCTTGGGCAAGCAGGCCACAGCACACAGGACATTGCGGCCAGTCCATCCCGTGCCAGGCAAGCAGAACGGAACCTCCACCCTTGTTCCTGCTCAAATGACTAGTTCCTTCCCTGCTTCAATGAAGATAATGAGTTCCAGGAAGCCCCCCCGCCCAGAGAAGACGGTGTATGTGCGAGGAGAACAAAGAGCATTGGACACGCTCTCCCTCCAAGTACGTGTGCCTGTGATTCTTGGGCCAGCAGCCGACATTCCCTGTCCACCTTCAGGGTCTGAGCGTTGTGTCCTGCAGGTCAGGACACTGTCCTCCAGGCCCCACATCCTGAGGGGAAGCGGAGTGGTCCCCACGTGAAATGCCGGTGTCCCTGCTGGCAGCCTCGGCCAGCCCCACTCCTGCAGGTTCTGAGCGCCAGTCTGCACTCAACCCCTAGGCACATGTCCTGCTCAGATCCGGCCACCTTCCCACAAGTGCCCTCGTGGGCAGCAGGGGACGGCTGAGGGGCTTCAGCTGGACACATCCCCAAGCCTCTAGGGACACGAGGGAGTGAACTGGCACATGGGAGACCCATCACCTCCAAATTACACACACACCCAGGGAGAACCCTGCTGGGGCACTGGCTCACCTGGCTTCCGGCCGTCACCCAGCTCCACGCGTTCTCGTGGGGGCCGCAGGGGGCTGCGGCTCCAGTGGCTGGCCTTTCCCCGATCGCTGTAGTCCTCCCGCGTGGAGCGGTGGTGTGCAGACACTGGCTCCGGAAGGAGAGAGTGGGCAGCAGCATGGTACCACGCCCTCCCCAAGGCTTTGCCCAGCACACAGCCCACTCCTGGGGCACCCACACGTGGACACACGTGGACCGGAGAAGGGGAGACTGGGCAAGCACAGCAGTGCAGTTGTGCCAGGATCTGACTGATGGCCTGTGTCCACTCAAGGTCCACACGGCTTGCTCCAGCTCTGCAGGGGCCGCCAGCACCTTCTACCCACCGCGGTGGCCACTGCTCACTTGCAGCTGTGGCCCCAGGGCCAGGTGCCAGTAAGGGCCCTGTCCTCTGCGCCAGGGACTTGGGCATGGCCACTCTGCTCTGACAGAGCCCCCAATCCTGTGACCCCCCACCTCCTTGGAGCACCCCACCCCTAGGAGCCCCCACTCCCTGTGAGCCCTGTACTCCTAGGAGCCCCCATTCCTATAACCCCCAGCTCCCTGGGAACAGGAACCCCACCATACACCCAGTGGAAGAGGGGGCAAAATGTCCACTTGTCAACAGGGAACTCACATGACACATCCTGTAGCACCCCTCCCCGACTGGGACCGCCGTCCCTGTGGCGAGGACACACGCATGCGCGGTCCTTAGCTCTCCCCTAGTTTACCTTCTTCCCCCAGGTACAGGAGGAAGAGGGGGAAGATCTGGAAACACTGGGCAACTATGTAAACATCATCAAAAATAAAGTAAAACAAACAGGTGCCCCAAGAGTCAGAGGGAGGGCACGGCGTGACCCTGCATGACCCCGCGTGACCCGGATGGAAAACCCAAGTGGGGAAACCCGAGCACAGCGGGTGGAGCCGCAGCTCTGGGGGGCTGCCACTGGCTTAGGGCACTGGTTTGAGTCCTAGCTGCCCCACTCCCCACCCAGCTCCCTGTAGACAGCCGGGAGAGCAGGGAGGATGGCCCAAGCGCTCGGGAACACACTAAGCCCTTTCCAAGTGACAGAAAGAGGAAGGGACAAAGAACACGCAGCAGCTACGACGCCACGTGTGCACAGAGCGTCCTGCCGGCGCTGCCCGCCCCTTGGCACACCTTCCCGGCGGGCCTCCCGCTCCTTGCGCCGCTCGCCAGCCCGCCGCTCCCGCTCCTTGAGCTCGCGCTGTTCCTTCTGCTGCTCGCGCAGCTTGCGCTCTCGCTCCCGCTTCCGCTCCAGCTGCTCCAGCCGGTCCCTGCGAAAGTCCAGCCCACGTGACTTCCCACAGGCCTCGGCTCTGTGAGCAGGGCCCTTCGGATGGTTCGTGGGAGCCGCAGCTGCCAGGCCGGCCGAGGTCCTGGCCCACGGGCCCCTGGGCGGCCAGCGGTTCCCTTTGCACACCCTTCCCACCTTTCCTGGTGATCCTGCTAAACGGCCGTGGCTGGGACTGAACCCACTTCTCACCTGAACGGTACTAGCAACTCTATGGAAACATGGCTCCACCTCCCGTCGGCTCTGTGCCACCAGCACGCAACAGACACGGTGCAAAGCCACTGACCGGTATGGGCTGGTGCCATGGTGCAGCACGCTACGCCTCTCCCGTCGGCTCTGTGCCGCCAGCACGCAACAGACACGGTGCAAAGCCACCGACCGGTACGGGCTGGTGCCATGGTGCAGCACGCTACGCCTCTCCCGTCGGCTCTGTGCCACCGGCACGCAACAGACACGGTGCAAAGCCACTGACCGGTACGGGCTGATGCCATGGTGCAGCATGCTACGCCTCTCCCATTGGCTCTGTGCCACCCGCACGCAACAGACACGGTGCAAAGCCACCGACCGGTACAGGCTGGTGCAATGGTGCAGCACGCTACGCCTCTCCCTGTAGCACCAGTACGCAATATAGTGCTGGTCTGAGTCCTGGGTGCTCTACTTCCCATGCAGCGCCTGGAAACGCGCAGCACAGCAGGGTGGATTTGGAACCAAGCCCTAGGGCCCCTGCACCCCGTGCAGACGGGAGGGAGCCCCCCAACAGCTCAGCTTTGGGAGTTGCGGCCGTCTGCAAGTGAACCAGCAAATGGAAAATGCGTATCCCCCATCATTTTACAAATAAAATGATTTAAAATAATAATAACAGTAAGAAAAGAATGCACTTGGACCGACAAGTGTGGCCTCCCCTCCCCTTCCCCGGTGAGGGACTCCCTCCTGGAGAGGGCCTGGCCCAGTGCGCAGGAGAGCGGCTGGGACACTGGCATCTCACATTGAGGCTGGGTTCGAGTTCCAGCTGTTCCATCTCTGACCCAGCTCCACACGAAAGCACCTGGGGCCCCCCGACCCGGCGGGAACCCCAGTCCTGCCACGGCCACCGACCAAAGCAGCCAGAGGATGGCGCTCTCAGCCCCACTTCCCATAAGCAAGCTAGCACTACAAGAAAGGCAGCCAGAAGCTGCGGCTCCGCTGTGCAGCCCGAGTGGGCAAAGCGCAGCCGCGGGGCGGCCTGCACAAGGCTTCAGGGCAGGTGTGTGGCGCTGCAGGCATGGATCCTCCTCACCCCGCCCTCTGTGGGGCCCAGGGCTGGTCACCCCAGGCCACTCGGCCACTCCTCTCCCCTGGTGGTCTCAGGGTCTGTCCATGCCTTCCTGCCGTACCCTGCCCCCACACGTGCTCAGCGTGGGTGGCTGTTCAGTCAGCACCCTGGTCTTCATGCTCAGGCCTCCCTAGACTTCAGGGATCTTGCGTCTGAGGCTTGACACTGCCCTCTTGGACCCCGTGTTGTGGCATAGCATGATAAGCCACTGTCCACAGTGCTGGCACCCCCATGTGTTCAGGTCCCTGCAGCTCCATGTCCACTATAGCTGATGTGCTGGGGAAAGCAACAGAGGATGGCCAAGTGCTTGGGACCATGCACCCGTGCGGGGAGACCTGGGACAAGCTGCTGGCTTGGGACTGGTGTAGCCCCGGCCATCACGGTCATTGTGAGGTGAGCCGCTGGGAGGTTTCTCCATCTGTAACTCTGTCACGTGACCTACCTGCTCGTCAACATGTCTGCCTGCGCCTGTCAGATTTGTGAAGTCACTTTCAATTTGAAAGGCAGAGTTACAGACAGGGAGTGACAGACAAGTCTTCCAGCCGCAGGTTCAGTCCCCAGATGGCTGCGACGGCCGGAGCCGGGTGGGCCGAAGCCGGGGTGCGGCAGCCCCCCCCGGGGACTCCCACACAGGTGCTTGACGCCCCAGCACTCGGTCTCTCCGCCACTGCTTTCCCAGGCCATGAGCAGGGAGCTGGACGGGAAGTGGATCAGCCAAGACTGGAGTCAGCGCCACATGGAAGCCAGCACTGCCTTGGCCTCCACAGGCTGCCCCTGGATTTTCCTTTTTTTTTTTTTAAGAATGGCGAGATTGGCAGCAATTCATAACTGTCGAACTATCAAAACCACTCTAGCAAGACCCTCGGAGCATGCCCCACATCGGGGGCCTGGGAGGCTGGGCGGGGCTTCTTTCTTTACCTCTCCCTTCACCCCAGATACAGGAAAAAACAATGTGGAGGTAACAGTCCTACCCACTTTCCTGCAGCCCTTGAACCTTTGTGTTCTAACTAACTACGGAAAGAAAAACCAGCGGTGAACGTCAGGTTAACCCGAACAAGTGACCCATGAGTCCTAAAAGATGAAATCCAAGGGCAGTTAGTTCTGCTCATCCTAGGACAGTGACAAAGCAGCGTCTCCTGGAACTCCAGTCTGCTTTCTGTTCATCTGTTTTAACTTCAGTGTGACGGGACATTTACACAAATGCCTGCTTTGGTTCAATTCCATCTGTCAACCAGGGCAGGAGTGCAATCGTCGCCAATGGCCTGAGATAATTTGTGTTTAAAAATTTCTACCCAGAGAGCCTAGAGTGATAGCTCAGTAGCTAAAATCCTCAAAAAGAAAAAACAAAAAAAGATTTATTTTTTTGGAGGGGAGGTCCAGCACGTGCAGCCTAGCAGCTAAAGTCCTCTCCTTGCACACACTGGGGTCCCATATGGGCGCTGGTTCTAATCCCAGCGGCCCCGCTTGCCATCCAGCTCCCTGCCTGTGGCCTGGGAAAGCAGTGAAGGATGCCCAAAGCCTTGGGACCCTGCACCCGCGTGGGAGACCCAGAAGAGGCTCCAGGCTCCTGACTCCCAGCTTTGGTCGGCGCAGCTCTGGCGCTGTGGCCACTTGGAGGGGGTCTCTTCTCTGTAAATCTGCCTTTTCAATAAAAATAAGTAAATCTTAAAAAAAGAAAAAAAACCTAATTTCTGTTTTATTTAGAAGGCAGAGTTACAGAGAGGAGAGAGAATCTTCCATCTGCTGGGTCATTCCCAAATGATTCAACGGCCAGAGCTGAGCTGATCTGAAGCCAGGAGTCGGGCGTGCCCTCTGGGTCCCCACCCAGGTGCAGGGGTCTAAGCACTCAGGCCTGCTTACTCTGCCTTCCAAGGCACACCCTCAGCAGCTGGGACCTGAACTGGTGCCCATACAAGGTGCCAGCACGTGGAGGTGCAGCTCTTCTCCCATTGCTGCTGCCTGTCAGCGGCATCCCCAGCGTGGCTTCTCACGCAGACCAGAGTCCGAAGCATCCGACACATTCACCCGCGCCCAGGGGGGCTTGGACCAGAGCTGCTTCCCAGGGAGCTCCGAGCAACGGCCTGGGACCGGCCCTGCCCACCGCCCCTGACAGGTACTTCCCACAAGGCCTGGGCCAGCTTTCTCAACGACGGCGCCTGGCTCGCACTGTGCCCTTGGCACCCACACCCACTTCTGGGGTCTCCCCTCCAGCTCTCAGATGGACCCAGAGCTTCTTCCTGCACTGCCCAGCCACACGTGGAACCGTGCGTATCTGACACACGTGTGCTGCCCAGCCCATCACACACGTGTACCGCCCCATCTCACACACGTGCACCGCCCTCCCCATCTCACACACGTGTACCGCCCTCCCCAACTCACACACGTGTACCACCCCCATCTCACACATGTGTACCGCCCTCCCCATCTCACACACGTGCACCGCCCTCCCCATCTCACACACGTGTACCGCCCTCCCCATCTCACACACATGTACCGCCCTCCCCAACTCACACACGTGTACCACCCCCATCTCACACATGTGTACCGCCCTCCCCATCTCACACACGTTTACCGCCCTCCCCAACTCACACACGTGTACCACCCCCATCTCACACACGTGCACTGCCCTCCCATCTCACACACGTGTACCATCTTCCCCATCTCACACATGTGTACCACCCCCATCTCACACACGTGTACCGCCCTCCCCAACTCACACACGTGTACCACCCCCATCTCACACACGTGTACTGCCCTCCCCAACTCACACACGTGTACCGCCCTCCCCATCTCACACACGTGCACCACACTCCCCATCTCACACACGTGTACCACTGCCATCTCACACACGTGTACCGCCCTCCCCAACTCACACACGTGTACCACCCCATCTCACACACGTGTACTGCCCTCCCCATCTCACACACGTGTACCGCCCCATCGCACACACATGCACCGCCCTCCCCATCTCACACACGTGTATCACCCCCATCTCACACATGTGTACCGCCCTCCCCATCTCACACACATGCACCGCCCTCCCCATCTCACACACATGCACCGCCCTCCCCATCTCACACACGTGTACCGCCCTCCCCATCTCACACATGTGTACCACCCCCATCTCACACACGTGCACTGCCCTCCCCATCTCACACACGTGTACCACTGCCATCTCACACACGTGTACAGCCCCCCATCTCACACACATGTACCATCTTCCCCATCTCACACACGTGCACCACCCCCATCTCACACACGTGCACCGCCCTCCCCATCTCACACACGTGTACCGCCCTCCCCATCTCACACACGTGTACAGCCCCCCATCTCACACACATGTACCATCTTCCCCATCTCACACACGTGCACTGCCCTCCCATCTCACACACGTGTACAGCCCCCCATCTCACACACATGTACCATCTTCCCCATCTCACACACGTGCACCGCCCTCCCCATCTCACACGTGTACCACACCCATCTCACACACGTGTACCGCCCTCCCCATCTCACACACGTGTACAGCCCCCCATCTCACACACGTGTACCACCGCCATTTCACACACGTGCACCACCGCCATCTCACACACGTGTACTTCCCTTCATCACACTCCTGTACCGCCCTCCCCATCTCAGGCGTGCTGCCCGCCCCCCCAAGCATCACTCCTGTGCCCCCTCCCTGCCCAAAGCTCTATGTGCTGGCAGCCCCACTCCCAGGCAGCACGCATGTCTGCTCCTTCACAGCATCTGCCAGAGGCCTCTGGTGCAGCTCTGCTCCCGTGGGGCACTCACCTCTCTCTTCTAGAATGTTCTCTTGCCATCTCGCGCCTCTTCTGTCGCTCCCACTCGCGGCGTGCCTTATCCTGCTCCTCGCGGTGCCGCTTCCGCCGCTCGTGCTCCCTCTCCTTGTCCTTCACTCTGGCGTGCTTTCCTGGCAGAGCAAGAGGCAGCGGGTCCAGAGATGCCACTTCCAAACACAGACACAAAACCCAGACAGGAGACGCTCACGTGGCGCTGTGGCCGACACCATGAACAGCTGCGACTCGGGCTGTCTTTCCCTGGCACAGCAGCTCACCCAGGGCCTTCCCAGGCCCTCAGACGCGGCAGGGTACTGCCAGGCTCGGCGGGGACGCGGACCCCAGCGCCAGCCAGCCAGCCCCTCAAGAAGCTCCTGGAGGCAGGAGACCCCAGCTCCCGTCAGTTAGACCTGTTACTGCCGTGACCCCGCCCTGCCTCTCTGGGCTCTTCCTGATGTTCATGCTGAATCAGGGCATCTTCATGCGGCAACAAACAACTGAACAACATAGTGGGGGGAGTGGGGCTGGGAGCAGGGGACACACGCGGGGGACAGGCAGCAGGTGGCCAGGACAGAGCCCACTCAAGAGGCCCAGGGAACAGGCTCAGTACCGCCTTCAGCTGAGCGGCTACGATGCCTTCTCTTCTCTTTCCTCTTCTCGTCCTTCCTGTGGTGGGTCTTCTCCTTGCGCGACATCTGCTGGGGTGGCTTGATGGCCAGAGAGTCGTCCTCCTCACCCCTGCATGAGATGTGGGCGTCAGAGCCCGGGGACCCCCAAAACACCATGCAGGACACCAGCTGGTGCCATGGCGAAGCTCAATGCCTGCAGGGAGTGGGCGCAGGTTCGAGTCCCAGCTGCTCCACTTCTGATCCGACTCCCTGCTAACAGTCTGGGCAAAGCAAGGGGACACCTGCCCAAAAGCGTGGCCTGTACACACATGCAGGAAACCCGGAGGAAGTTCGGCCCTGCCCGACTGCACTGGGCTGGGGATGCAGTGGTGGGTGAAGGGTGCTCTCCCTGACCCAGGACCCAAAGGAAGCTTGGCCCTGCCCGACTGCACTGGGCTGGGGATGCAGTGCTGGGTGAAAGGCGCTCTTCCTGACCCAGGAACGACAGTGATTCTGAGGCATGAGCTTTCCCAGACTCAGCACCTGATGTGGTGCAGAGGACCAACCCGCTGCACCCCTCCCAGTCAGTGTCTCCTCCAGCCAGCTGCTGCTCTCAGTCAGTGTCCTGCAGGTGTCTGACACAGTGTGGGAGAGCCAGCCTGTAGCATCCTTGGCTCAGCGTGGTCCAAGGCAGCAACAGAGACAGAGATCTCCCATGCAACAGGCAAGACTGGGCCAGGCTGAGCGAGCACTCTCCAAGCCAATCCCAGGATCCCGCGTGGCTGCAAGACCCCTGGAGGCAGGGGTGAGACCCAGGGAACAGAGGGAGAGCTGGAGGCAGGGGTGAGACCCAGGGAACAGAGGGGGTGCTGGAGGCAGGGGTGAGACCCAGGGAACAGAGGGGGTGCTGGAAGCAGGGGTGAGGCCCAGGGAATTGAGGGGGTGCTGGAGGCAGGGGTGAGGCCCAGGGAACAGAGGGGGTGCTGGAAGCAGGCGTGAGACCCAGGGAACTGAGGGAGAGCTGGAAGCAGGTGTGAGACTCAGGGAACAGAGGGGGAGCTGGAGGCAGGGGTGAGGCCCAGGGAACAGAGGGGGTGCTGGAAGCAGGCGTGAGACCCAGGGAACAGAGGGAGAGCTGGAAGCAGGTGTGAGACTCAGGGAACAGAGGGGGAGCTGGAGGCAGGGGTGAGGCCCAGGGAACAGAGGGGGTGCTGGAAGCAGGGGTGAGGCCCAGGGAATTGAGGGGGTGCTGGAGGCAGGGGTGAGGCCCAGGGAACAGAGGGGGTGCTGGAAGCAGGCGTGAGACCCAGGGAACTGAGGGGGTGCTGGAAGCAGGTGTGAGACTCAGGGAACAGAGGGGGAGCTGGAGGCAGGGGTGAGGCCCAGGGAACAGAGGGGGTGCTAGAAGCAGGCGTGAGACCCAGGGAACTGAGGGAGAGCTGGAAGCAGGTGTGAGACTCAGGGAACAGAGGGGGAGCTGGAGGCAGGGGTGAGGCCCAGGGAACAGAGGGGGTGCTGGAAGCAGGGGTGAGGCCCAGGGAATTGAGGGGGAGCTGGAAGCAGGGGTGAGGCCCAGGGAACAGAGGGGGTGCTGGAGGCAGGGGTGAGGCCCAGGGAATTGAGGGAGAGCTGGAGGCAGGGGTGAGGCCCAGGGAATTGAGGGAGAGCTGGAGGCAGGGGTGAGGCCCAGGGAATTGAGGGGGAGCCGGAGGCAAGGGTGAGGCCCAGGGAATTGAGGGGGAGCCGGAGGCAGGGGTGAGGCCCAGGGAATTGAGGGGGTGCTGGAGGCAGGGGTGAGGCCCAGGGAACAGAGGGGGTGCTGGAGGCAGGGGTGAGGCCCAGGGAATTGAGGGGGTGCTGGAGGCAGGGGTGAGGCCCAGGGAATTGAGGGGGAGCCGGAGGCAGGGGTGAGGCCCAGGGAATTGAGGGGGAGCCGGAGGCAGGGGTGAGGCCCAGGGAATTGAGGGGGAGCTGGAGGCAGGGGTGAGGCCCAGGGAATTGAGGGGGAGCCGGAGGCAGGGGTGAGGCCCAGGGAACAGAGGGGGTGCTGGAGGCAGGGGTGAGGCCCAGAGAACAGAGGGGTTGCTGGAGGCAGGGGTGAACTATGTACAGTGGCCTCGACTTTCTACACACGACTGAACGCTCACCCCTCAGATAACATTCTAGAAATCAAGGCACTGTCAGCAAACTCGGTCCTACGTCAGGTGACCAGGCAGGACTCAGAAAGACAGTATGTGTTTGCCTTGCTTTTTCCTGTAAAACTTGTTTGTTTAGACAGCAGATTCACAGAAAGAGACAGAGTCCTTCCACCCAGTTTTACCCCAGCAGCCTAAAAGGCTGGCACCAGAAGCCCGGCTCTCGGGCCTACCCTCTCTGCTCCCACAGGTGCCCGCACCTGTCCTCCAGGGAGTCCTCCCTCCGGCACGGTGAGTTTCGGATGGTGATCTCCATGCGGTGCTCCCGCAGCTCACCCTCCTCCAGAGAGTCTCGCTTGGAGTCCCGGTCATCAGACTGAAGACAGAGGAGCCACAGGTCAGCGTGGACCAGCATGCACTTGCAGGGACCACATGCACCTCAGCAAACCCACTCCACCCAGGGCCGAGGGGAGAGACCCCTCAACTGAGCCCAAAGGGAGGTTCTGCCCTGCGTGCCAGTAAACCCCGACTGTGAACACAGCAGGGGAAGGCAGACGGGCTCTCGGTGTGGGATGGTGTGTCTCCAGGGCAGCTGCTACACAAACCACCAGCGGGGAAAGTCAGATCCAAGGGAGGGCAGAGCACACAGAGTTAGTGTGTATGTCAGCCGCCAGCCCACAGTGAGACATGGGATGATACACTTTGCAACCAACCTGCACACAGCTCCCCTCCACGCACACACACCCTGCACACAGCTCCCCTCCACGCACACACCCTGCACACAGCACCCTCTCCCCACACACACCCTGCACACAGCTCCCCTCCACGCACACACACCCTGCACACAGCTCCCCTCCACGCACACACCCTGCACACAGCACCCTCTCCCCACACACACCCTGCACACAGCTCCCCTCCACGCACACACACCCTGCACACAGCTCCCCTCCACGCACACACCCTGCACACAGCACCCTCTCCCCACACACACCCTGCACACAGCTCTCCTCCACACACACACACCCTGCACACAGCTCTCCTCCACACACACACACCCTGCACACAGCTCCCCTCCACACACACCCTCACACAGCTCCCTTCCACATACACATTCTGCACACAGCTCCCCCCCCACATACACCCTGCACACAGCTCCCTCTCCCCACACACAGCTCCCCTCCACACACACCCTGCACACAGCTCCCCTCCACGCACACACCCTGCACACAGCACCCTCTCCCCACACACACCCTGCACACAGCTCCCCTCCACGCACACACACCCTGCACACAGCTCCCCTCCACGCACACACCCTGCACACAGCACCCTCTCCCCACACACACCCTGCACACAGCTCTCCTCCACACACACACACCCTGCACACAGCTCTCCTCCACACACACACACCCTGCACACAGCTCCCCTCCACACACACCCTCACACAGCTCCCTTCCACATACACATTCTGCACACAGCTCCCCCCCCACATACACCCTGCACACAGCTCCCTCTCCCCACACACAGCTCCCCTCCACACACACCCTGCACACAGCTCCTTTCTCCCCACACACCCTGCACAAACCGACTCCCTGATGAGTTTCTGGGGGTCTCCCTCCGCTTGCCTCTTGTGCCCGCAGAGCCAGTGTGGTCAGCAGGGGTGCCTGTGCCCGGCCTGCGGGCCGACCCCCCCGAGTGCGGGCCCACATACGTTTTTTAGTCGCTTGACTTCGGCCTTCTCCTCCTGCTCCTTCCGCCGCTTCTTCTCCTGCAGGATCTCATCCAAGGTCTTCACTTTCCAGGAATCCTTCTCATCCCCCATTGGGCCCCACGCTGCGAGGGAGGCCGGTCCTGAGTGCGAGCCCGGGACCTCCGCCTGCACCCCGAAGTCCGTCTGGGCCAATTCCCTCGGCCAAGCCCTCTGCCTGCACCCCAAGGTCCCCCTGGAAAGGCTCCCCGCGATCTGCCGAGCCGAGCCCCCAGCCAGGCGCCCGCCTGCACCCCGAGATCTGCCCCGACCCCCCACTTGCACCTCGACGTCTTCCTGGACCACCACCTGCACCCCGAGGTATCCCGCGCCGAGCCCTTAGGCCTCGTCTCCTGCCCGCACCCCGAGATCTGCCGGGTCGAGCCCTCCGCACTCACCCCTGCTCCGCTGCCGACCCGAACCCCGAACCCCAGGTGGAAACAGTCCTGACTGGCGCCTGAACGTCGTCACTTCCGACAGGGGCGCGTTCCGATGACGCTGCGACAAACGCGCCCGGAAAGGGTGTCGCGCAACGATGACGCCACGCGACGGGGTGATCGCCAGAGGCGACATTTCTGACTCCGGCGCATGGTGGTGACGCGCTCACTGGGCGTCGCCGGGTGTAAGGAACGGGAAAGTGGGAATCGGGTCCCGGCGCAGTGGCCTGGTTGCTCCCACTCGGGCGCCGGTTCGTGTCCTGGCTGCTGCACTTCCCCTTCCAGCCGGGCAAGCAAGGGGAGGTGGGTGCTGCGTAGGGGACAGCAGGGCAGAGGCCACCCCTAAACTGGCCACTGTGCCAGGAGACCGTGCAAGTCGAACCGCCGGTTCATGGAGATGAGACTGAGGCCCTGGGCCACCAACTTAAGCCTAGTCGCGAGTTAGCTCACCAGCCCGGCTCGCGCGGCGAGGCCCAGGCTGCGGACTAGGTGTGGGTCCAGGGTGCGCCCCCAGAGCTTGCGCGCCAGACGGGGTGCGCCTTCAGGAGAACTCGCGCCAGGCGCGGTGCACCCCCAGAGCTCGCGGCCAGACGGGGTGCACCCCCAGGGAACACCCCAGGTGTTGCAGCCGACGGCCCTGGCACCCACATGCAGCTGCTGCCTGGTCTGAACCAGTGAAAGAACAGTCTCTTCCCTCTCTGTAACTACCTTTTAATTTAATAGGTTCTCGAAGAAAAAAAGTGTTGACCATTTTCGGCAGGAGTGTCCCAAGCAGCCTGACGCTTGCAAGGCCTGGGAAGCGCAGCCGGTGCTGGGAGGGCCGCCACTGTGAGGAAAAGCTGCCCCTAGGCAAACCCAGCAGGTCCCTGTGGGGAGGACACCAGAGCTTGCTCATGGTTGAAATTTATTTTGCAGAACAGGTCTGACTTGCTACCATGGGCGCCAGGTGTAGACAGGGCCCCGGAGGGCCTCCACAGGACTTACACAGCTCACCACAGTCACAGTGGCTTTCAGGAAGTACTGCTCACAAATGAAGTCCAGAAACACGAGGTGTGTGCTCCACAGTGGTTTGGTATAAAGCAAATGGAATTTGGCTCTTAGGTAATTTTCAAGTTTCTGATGTGAGTCACGCTGGCCAACTCCTGGAGCTGCAGCTGGCATGGGCACCCTGCCGGCAGGGCAGACGCGAGCCTGCTGACAGTGGAGAACAGCCGGCATGCCAGCACAGTGGTTCTCAGCTGTGGGTACCTGGGCAAGGGCCTGGACTCCGCCAATGTGGCTGCTCCCTGAGCACTGAACACTGCGGAGGCAGCCAAACCGGGGCACCTGACCACCAGGGCCAGTGTGGGGCCCTCGGGCACAAAGGGAGAAATAGCAAGTGTGGGGACAGTCCACGAAGGGAGCAGCCTGGAGGCCCCCACGGGTGCTGCCAAGGCCCTCCCACAGCACGCTCCCCCAGCACATCCTTGCCTCTGCCTCACCATGTTTACTCAAATTTTGGATTGCACTATCATCCTCGGGCCTGCAGGGGGCAGAGCGCTGGACCACTGGAATCCCAGGCTGTCCATCAGTAGGGGCTGGGACAAGATGCTGCCCAGACATGAGGCCAGGGGCGCTGTGTACTGTTTACCAAAGTGGGAGGCAGTGAACGTGACCTTGGCCTGCCTCTTGCTTGCAGAGGGGTGGCAGGATGCAGTGCGTCAACAGCTCATCTGCCGAGCCCCGGGGAGGGGCGGGGTAAGGGGACGGCAATGGAGGAAAACCCCCCATGGCCGCCAGGTCCTGCAGGATGGCTCCAGACCCCTCAGGGAAGTGAGAAACAGCAAAGCAATATTGGTGGAGGTCCCGCAGGCGGCGCGGGGAGGGGGGTTGTCTTGGGCATTTTGGCACTTGCACGGCTGCCAGGGGCCCAGTACGTGGTCTTGGGCTCTGTCTCTCCGGGAATGGGGTACTGCTGGTGGCATCTGAGAAAACCAGCGTCCTGCTGCTAGGGGCGGGGTGGCCATGGGTGGCCTTCAGGAAGCCCACCAAGAGCTCTTGGGCTCCCCAAGCTTGGACAACAGGCCTCGCTCTCAGGACCAAGTGGGCACTTTGTGTCAGCACATCTGTGGCCCCTGGAAGTGCCACTGGCAGTCTCACCCTCCCTACACAGGCCCAGGAATTTGTCCTCCACTTTCAGGCACAGACCAGCCCAAGGGAAGCCTGGCTGGGGCACAGGCCTCAGGAGAGGTGTCAGGAGGACCCCGAGACCCGGAGGAGGGCACGTCCCTGGAGCCCAGGTCCCATCCCTGACCGTTGGCTCCATGTCCTCTCGGGTGGGACAGGACCAGGTGATGTCACGGCCTTGCCCATCGAGGACACTGTGGCTGTGGGCCTGGACAGGCTGGTGTAAGGTTGAGTTCTCCTGCTGGGGACTGAGCAGGTGGCAGCTTGCGTTGGCACTGGAACCAGCCGGGCCCTAGAGGCTCTGCACACGGGAGTGGCAAGTAGACACGTGCCTGGCAGGGAGCCGCGGAGGCACGAGCTTGGTTTGGCAGGCCTGGCCATCAGGTGCTGCCCAGGGGCTGAGTGCCAGTGGTGCAGGAGGGGATGGTGGGGCTCCACTCAGTGGGGCTCGTGGGGGTCCCTGGGCACCAGTGGCTCTGTACTGTCCTCTGGGGCCTGGCTGGCACCTGCAGCCAGACCCTGCATGGCTTCCTGCTGCAGCTGCCTGGCCTTGTTGTAAAGCAAGACTCCCACTGTCACCAGGATGGTCCCAACGGCAGACAGGCCAGTGACGTGGTTGCCAAACACAATGACGCTCAGCCAGACGGACAGGGCGTGCTTCACGGTGCTGGCCACGCTGCCACAAGAGGACATGAGGATGCTGAGTGCCCCTGGGGCTGTGCCACAGAGGGCACAGGGGGTGACTGCCACAAGGGCCCCCAGCTAGAGGGTGCCTGTGAGCCAGGGTGGGGGAAAGCACCGTCCGACCCCGCTCCCGCCATCACTCACCTGAAGGTCACGGGGGAGATCTTGCCCATGAGGGCATAGGCTGAGACGCTCTGCAGGTGGAAGAGCACCCCATCCGTCAGCAGCAGCAGCAGCACATCGTGCGAGTAGTGGAAGCTCCTCCCGCTCCGGCCAATGACAGGCACGTCCTGGGGCACAATGGGGGGCTGGGCTGGCAGGCGTGTCCCTTGCATGCCGCCTGCTAAGACTGGGTTGTGCGGCCAATGGAGCTATAGCGGGCTTGTGTGAGCTGGAAACGTGGCACAGCCACAGCATCACGGAACACACTGCCAAGGGACTGGCTCGATGTGCCGCGGGTCAGAACTCAGACCCCACGAGGGGCCACGGTTCTGAAAAGTAGCGAAGACTGCCCAGACCCCATGCCCACCAGCTGGGCTGAGGGGGCATGTGTGTCCTTGTCTCTGTAGATCCACCTTTCCAATAAAAATAAGTCAATAAAAAAGGCTAAAATCGTAAATTTAAACAGTCATAGTCTTTCAACCAACCAGTTCAACTCTAAAAATATACCCTGAGAAACACCTTCACCTGCCCAAGCCCAGGAGAGCCCGGGCACTGCCAACCCTCAGGGGAGGTGGGAGGGTGGGTGGGGCTGTGTGCCAGGCACAGCTCCAGCCCAGGACGCCCCAGGAGGCCGGCCCTGTGCCTGAAACCACACTGCTCACCAAGAGGAAGACCCAGGCAGGGACAAGCAAGGCCATTGCCGCGGCGCTGGTGTAGAATTGCAGCTCCGGGGCCCTGTGGGGACAGAGACCCTCAGCAGGCTGGCACGGGGATGCAGCCAGCTCCACGGCAGTGTCTGCCCAAGAGGACCCCGTGGCTCCCGTGGTGTCTGCTGCAGTGCTGGGAGCCACGTGGCATGTCTACATGGCACAATGGAATGCTGAGTCCAGTTCTGAGACTCGGCCCCTAGCTCCCGAGTAGGAGACCTGGTGGAGTTCCTGCCTCCAGTCTGGCCCGACCCACCTGCTGCACACATTGGCAGGGTTAGCCCATACAGGCAAAGGCAGCTACACGTAGGCTGGCAGCAGGACAGGCCCACGACAGGTGGCCCTCCCAGCATCCCTCGGAACAGAGTGGGCTGCACAAGTGTGGGGTCTTTGACATTGCGTGCGGGAAGGATCTTGAAGGCCTCTGGCCCACAGTACTTACGAAAACCGGTACTTGTCTCCGCTGAGGAGCTTCTTTGAAAAAACATTCTGCAAACTACAAGGAAGCACAGGCAAGGTCAGGGTGACCACACAGCACGGTGACCAGCTCACACCTGCAGCACACCGGCGGCCAGCACAGCGGTCAGCTCACACCTGCCGCACACCGGCAGGCAGCATGGTGGACCGCTCACACCTGCCTCACACCAGCAGGGCCAAGGTGGCCTGGCTAGAGGCAGTCAGAGAACCCTCAGGTCCTTGTCTAAGTACAAAACTCGTCTCACAAGCTCACTTCACAAAAATGTGCGCTTGGTGTTTGAAAGTTTGGTTTCTTTCTTTGAAAGGCAGAGTTAGAGACAGAACAATCTCCCATCCCTGGGTTTACTGCCTGCTGCCACAATGGCCATGGCTGGGCCAGGCCTCAACAGGAACATCTTCTGGGTCTCCCCAGGGATGCAGGGTACCAGGTACTTGGGCCACCCTCTGCTGCCTTCCAGGCCATTAGCCAGGAGCTGTACAGTCTAACCTGCTGAGCCACAACACAGACCTGCAAACCAACTTTGAATAGAAGACATCTACCAGCCAGCAACTGGCACCACACATCTCCAAGGTGTGTGTGAGACTCACTGAGCCAGCATTTACAGACACAATGTCCTGACAGAAAAGCAGGCAGAACTCATCAATAGGACGGTCACATGAAGACACAAGGCCAATCGAAATGCAACCAGGAGCAGGGCTGTGGTGCCAACCGTCGCAGTGCCAACTCAAGCCCTGGCTGCTCCACCTCCGACGCCTGGGAAGCAGCAAAGGTGGGCAGCTGGGCGACCTGGAAGACCTGGCTGCAGATTTGCTCAGCTCCGGCCACTGCGGCCATCTGGGAGTGCTCGGCAGAGGGAACGCAGCACTAGATGCCAGCCCTCCTGGAGATGCTCGTGGGCTCAGCAGGAAGCTCTGCACAGGACAGCAGGTCGCACCAGAGGGCTCTGCACAGACCACACACACAGGGCGACATGAAGCCAGGGCAGGGGGAGGGCGACTGCAGCGGCAGAGGGTGGGACACACAGGCAAAGTGGGGATGCAGGAGGGAACCGGGAGGGCCCCGAGCCAGGAGGGCCGGGGGAGCAGCCTGACCCCACGGCGGCCCAGAGCGAGGGGGGCCGGGGGGAGCAGCCTGACCCCACGGCGGCCCAGAGCGAGGGGGGCCGGGGGAGCAGCCTGACCCCACGGCGGCCCTGAGCGAGGAGGGCCGGGGAGCAGCCTGACCCCACGGCGGCCCTGAGCGAGGAGGGCCGGGGGAGCAGCCTGACCCCACGGCGGCCCTGAGCGAGGAGGGCCGGGGGAGCAGCCTGACCCCACGGCGGCCCAGAGCAAGGAGGGCCGGGGAGCAGCCTGACCCCACGGCGGGCCCCGAGCGAGGAGGGCCGGGGGAGCAGCCTGACCCCATGGCGGCCCCAAGCGAGGAGGGCCGGGGGAGCAGCCTGACCCCACGGCGGGCCCCTGAGCAGACAGCAGCTCCTGGGGGGGTGTCCTTTTGTCCACAAACAGGTGGACCGGGTGGATCTGGGATGCCACCTCCCACTTGCTGTGGCAAGATCAGGAT